CACGGAAGCGCTGCCCCCTCCTTATTGGCTGCCTTCAACCAGCATGTGTCAGCTGGAGTAGGTGGTCTGTTGTCACCAAGCACCAGGGGGTGCTCTGCGCCTGAGCTCTTGGACCCTGCAAAATCTATAGAGATTCGTGTCGTTATGGCAACTGTGCCCTATCTAATTGAATGGAGCTCTATTTGATTGGATCCACTAATCTGGTTGGATGCCTGTCGAGTCAATGCCTGTGGCTGGTTGGATGCTAGGGAATTTGGATCTTCTCGGCAGCTCTCGCCCGCGGCCGAGCTTGTCCACTGGCAATGTGGAGCCGGAAAGTGATGAGTAGCCAGGGGGCGTCAGGGCGCTTGCACAGAGCTTAGCCACCCAGTGGGACTAGACTGAACAGATGGACTCTCAGTTGTAGCCTCCCTTTCTCCCGCCAGAGGGCGCCACATGGTGGAAGCCTGGAAGCCCTAGTGACTGGTGACGTCACCAGAAGAACTACTCTTGATTGGCTACTTCTCCATAAGCGCACCGTCTTAAAGGAGCCTTAGAAGACCGAGCCAAAGCTTAGCCATTGCATATCCAGGAGAAGTGAATGACCTTGGTCTCAGAATACTTAAGTGTGCAAAGGGCATTGACCTTTGTAATCCTGTTTAATCTCCGTAAACACCCTAGGTGCGCCAATTATGATCAGAGTGGACGCCCACTGAAGCAGTGGGCCCCTGGGATGGACACCTGCTGACATCTACCATTCACGATTTAAAACATAATTAAAACACTTAAAGCAGTTTCAGTTTCACAGGGAAAAAAATGAGCGAAAAGTGCTGAGTTTCCATATACCATAATGGTGTATGGGAACATCTTATCCCAATTCTCCACACCCTAACACGCCCTCCCATATTCCCCCTATTATTAACATCTGGCATTGGAAGGGCAATACTGTGTGATTCTATTTACACGAGGGCACTGGACTAGTCAGTTCACAGAGAACAGAAAGGTGTGGGCTGAGAGGGACCAGTGCATTCTCCTTGAAGGGGTGTGCAGTTTCCCCTTGGCAAGATTTCAGGTGATTACCTGCACACCAAGGTGAATGCCCTCAACACGCTCAACTGCACACTTTAAAGAGGGTGGGACTGGTCAATTTTATGGATTTCCACCCGCAATTAAAGTTTCTTAATGCATCCATTTTAAGTGTCTTGGTCAAAGGGTTTTGACAAATGGCTATTGTGAGGGGCCATCTCCACAACGAAGACACAGGACCCACCTGATTCTGGATGCTTCCTTGGTGCCTATGAGCCCCATCCACAGTCACTCCCTCAGCCCCCGGCACCCCAATCTGCCCTCTGTGTTCATGGATTAGTGTTCCTTCATCTACAACTTCAACATAAACAATCATAGTTTGTACTCACTCGTGTCTGGCTTTGTTCACAAGACTTGCTGGTTTGTTTTTTTGTTTTTGTTTTTTAAATACATAGCACGCATGTAGTTTTTCTGCCTCTTTTTTTTAAACATTTTTTAAATGCATACAAGAGAGGGGTACAGGCCAGAGTTATGGGGGATAAGAGGACTCACCAGAGACAGAGTGGGAAGCAGAACAGGCAGATCTACTGAGATACACTGCTGAGGGGAGCAGCGGGTAGACAGGAGAGGTCTGCTATGCCATGTGGGTTTCTCCCTGGCCGGGGATCGAACTCATGCTGCAGTGGCTGGCGTAGTGCTGAGACTTAGCCCCTGCGCCACCAGAGAGGCCCCGAGACTTGCTGGTCTTTAACGTCACATGTAGTGCTACCCCCATCAGTATACGGCTCTTCCTGTGGCTGACTAGTGGCCCCCACGTGAACCTGCAGTGCGTTTATCCATTGCATTTGATGGACATTTCAGCTGCTTCCAGGTTTCCAGATTGGGGCTTTGATGAAACTAGTTACTTTGACTAGGGGCGTAGATATAGGTTTTTATTTCTCACAGGCACTCAGGTGGAATTGCTGCCTCACGAGGCTAGCCTATGAGTGACCTCACACTGATAAACTCTTTTCCAAGATGGTTGTAGGGAGTGAACGGTGACCCCGAAAGATCTGTCTGTATTCTTATCCCATAGAACCTATGAGTGTGGTATCCTTTGGAAAAAAGGTCTTTGCTGATGTAACTGGGGGTCCTGGATGATTTCCCCCTGGATTGAGTGGCCCCTAAATCCAATGATAGGTGTCCTGAGAAAAAAAGGCAAGGGAGGAAAAAGGACTGTCGCCAGTTTACAGCTATTCAAAGCAGCCTGGTGCTAACACTGTCCTATTTACATGTTTCTGCTCGGAAACATCTCACTCCCTTTTGGAGAAGCTGATACTTATGTTCTAGGTCAGTCAATATTGAAGTGATTCTGAAGATTCCTGCCTGAGGCACAAACACGTTCTAATACATAATTATTAGCCATGAATCATCATTAATCTCAACACTAATAACTTACATGAGTCACATTACTCTACGCTAAAGACTGCGTGAAGAACTTGTGTCTATCTGCCCAATGTCTGCAAAGTGGGCATCTTTGTCTCATGGTTAAAGAAAAGGAAGCGCAGGAAGGTTAGATGATTCGTCGAAAGTCAGAGCGGATGCGTGGGAGAGGAAGAGTTTGCATGAAGCTGCGCGATTTCAAAGTTCACCTTGGACCCAGATGAACTCTGGTGACAAAGTCACAATGGAAAGGCAGCTGCGTGCCCTGAGAAGTCACTAGAAGGGGACATTAATTGCAAGGGTCAATTTCTTTGACTAGGATGGACTGTCCTCCGAACTGTCAATGCTTGTGGATGCTGATCGGTTGCCCTGTTTCTCTTCAAGGGCACCATGTCTTTACAAGCTTGACGTTGGGGCTGGAAAGGGCCTGTGTTCCTAGTGTATTATTATTATTATTATTATTATTTAAAAGATATATTTATTTAGGCATACAAGAACTGAGGCGTAGGCCAGAGGTGCGGGAGGTTAGAGAATCTACAAGAGACAGAGTGGGGAACAGAACAGGCAGACTGACTGAAATACACTGCTGAGGGGAGCAAAGGAGAGACAGGAGAGGCCTGCTGCACCATGTGGGTAGCTCCCTGGCCGAGGATTGAACTCGTGCTGCAGTAACTGGGGGTAGCTTCACAGTGCTGAGACTTAACCCCTTGCGCCACCAGGGAGGCCCTCCTAGTATATTATGTTAATAAAACCAGTGTTGTATGTGTTTTCAGGAAGAGGGAGGAGGAGATTTGAGACGTAGGGGCACACCTGGTACAAAGCAATGTGAATGTGAGGGCCTCCCCGGTGGCGCAGCGGTTGAGCGCTGGGTTGCGAAGCTGCCGGCGACCTCTGCGGCGCCGGTTCGATCCCCGGCTGCTCCCCGGCCACCGGAGGAGGGTCCCACATGGCGCGCAGACCTCTCCTGCCGCCCGCTGCTCCCCTCAGCAGTGTCCTTCGGTCCTTCTGCCTGCTCTGCTCCCCGCTCTGGCTCTGGTGAATTCTCTCACCCTCCTGCGCTTCTGACTGTACCCAGTGCATGTGTAAACAAAACAAACAAACAAACAAATAAATAAATAAAAAACATGCCTCTAAAAAAAAAAAAAAAAAATATTAAAAAAAAAAAAAAACAAAGCAATGTGAATGTGGCACACAGATGCCCGCAAAGGACTGTGAGGATGTGGGAGACTCCCCATGGGCCTCAGGGCAGACTGACCTCCCGATACCCTGACTCGGGCTTCAGGTCTCCAGAACTAGGAGCGAATACATGTCTGTTGTTTCCGGTCAGTTTGCTCATGACAAGACAGCCCTGGCAAGCACCCGTGGGCGCGCCTTATTCGTGGTGCAGATGGACGAGGGGGTGAGAACTCAGGCCAAGAAGCCAGGGTGGGTGCAGTGGCCACGGACAAAGGGCCGTCCCTGCTCATGGCCGTGGGACTCTGTCGGGGCTCCCAATCAAGGGGGCCTTTGGTTCTGCAGGAAAGAATGTTACTGTGTTGGATGGGCAAGAAAGATGCAGTCCTGAAGGGGTAAAATCTGGCTGGGGTCAAGTCTGCCAACAGGACAGAATGACTGGTCACGTTCAGGCCCTTGGATAACCACCTCTGGCCAATCAATCCTTCTCCTGGGGAGGCATGGAGGGAGAAGAAGGGATGGGAAAGCAAGAGGGGGGAGAGAGGATCACAATTTTGTTTCTTCCATTATCTGTGCTGGGGTTGGTTATAGCCAGGCCTGGAAATATCCAACCAATCCTCTCTCCCCTCTGCTTCCTGACGGCAGGGCCCATACTCCAGGATGGAGACTAGAAATGACAGCTGCTCCCTGTCCCAGACTGCTTTGCAACTCAGGGTGGCCACGGACCCAGTTCTGGCAAAAGAGAGACAGGCACTCTTCCGGGGAGGGAAAATATTAACACAAGGGGAAGACCCCGGTCCACATTTCCTGCTTTCGCCGCCATCCTGTGAGAACATAGTGCGTGGGGCTGTCACAGACAGTGTGTACTCGCGAGGCGAAAGCAAAATGAGTCTGAGATGCCAAGCCAGTGCCTGACGTTACTGAGCAGCTGAACGAATCCCAGGACTGTGTGTCTTTGAAAGATGTTATCTGAGCAAAATGTTATGAGCAAAATTTGTTATGTGAGCAAAATCTCTCATTTCAGCTCTTTCTGTTTTGTGCAGCTGAAAGCCTCATAACAGATGCAACATTATAAGCCTGCAGCTCCAGACAGCCATCTTATTTCCATCACAAAGACCTGCCTGAAAATGAGCAAAGCCCAGTCATTCGAACACCTGGATCCCACTGTGCCTGAAGTCCTTCTGTACGCAGACCCAAGACATAGGGGACGGCTTTCAATTCTGCTGTGACTTACAGTAGTTCAGGTTGTAGGTTGTGTCTGATAATCACATAGTCCTGGCCGAGGTAAAGTTTAGAAGTTGACGCTCAGGGAGATCAGTTGAGTCCATCACCCAGCCATTGATTGACTGGGTGAGGTTCCAACCCAGCCTCCCAGGCTGACAGAGGACAGGAGTTCCATGTGGAGTGAGACCCACGGTGTGTGTTTATTCTGGCATTGATAGCAGCAGCAGTGGGGGGATCGGCCAGACGCAGGATGTGGTGAACAGAAGGGGTAGACACGGGTGTGTGGGGGTGTCTGGGGGAACACAGAGGACTGGTCGTTGACATTCAGAGAGAGAACAGGGGTCAGGACACCAAGTCTTGGACAAACAGCAAAGACAGAGACAAAGGATCTGGGGGGCCAGGTGTCCCCCAGACATGCACAGCCCCTCGCCTGGAAGGGGAGCCCCAGAGAAGGGGAGACAGACACAGTGGAGACTGAAGCCCCCCACCCTGAAACACAGAGCCGGGCCCGCCTTCCTCCACCTTCACGCCATCAGAGGTGGAAGGATGGGCAGGCCCGGGGCTGCCCCGCATCACACAGCTCAGACATTATGGCTTCGAGGAGATGAATTCACGGTCCGGGCAGGAAGGGATGGGGTCCTGAGGGGGCCTGGTCCGATCCGGGCCTAGGCCAGACCTGCGGGAATGGGCAGGGAGGGGACATGAGTGATGAGCAGGAGTGGGCCTATGTCTGCTGTGATGACCCCAGACCAGGGAATCCTGGCCCGTGTTTCTCCACCCTCAGCCCCTCCCCTTAGGGTATCCAGGCCCCAGGGCGCCTCCCTCAGACCCAGGTGTCCAGGCCCCCGGGCTCCTCCCTTAGACCCGGGAGTCCAGCCCCAGCCCCTCCCTTAGACCCAGGAGCCCAGGCCCCCAGCTATCTGACCCCCAGGTCTGGGTTCTTACCCCTCACTCTGAGTTCTCCTTCTCTGACAATCCTTTGCTGCCTTTTGTGAAGCTGGTCAAAGTCTTTTCCTGAAGGGGGGAAATCCAGAAGATTCAGGGGTAGGGGGCAGAGGCAAACAACAGCTGATAACACAAGCCATCAACATGAGCTTCTTTTACACTGGACTCTGAAATGAGGGGCAAGGAAGCCACCGAGGAAGTGAGGGTAGGCCCTGCAGCCCTCGGGGGGCTGAGTCTGTACTGGGGGCTTGAGCAGAGAAGGGGCAGGATCACTGGCATGGCGGAAAGAGTCCTGGGGTCACATATAATCACTGTCTGAAGGCAGGTCAGGGTGGGCGCGCCTTGGCTCTGAGCTTAGAGCCGCACAGCCCAGCCTGAGCATGGCACACAGGCATCCGTGGGATGGGATGTGTCCAGGGATGCAGTGAATGTGTCAGGAGACTGACAGCAGCAGGGACGGCCGCCTTCCACCCCTTCAGCCGGAGTCTTGGTCTTTGCAAATTCAAATCTGAGCTCTCTGCTCAGCAGCTGAAATTCCTCCTCATTGCCCAGATAGAAGGCCAGGGCAGGACTGGCCTGCAGTGAGGCCCTGGGGTGGGGTGAGGTGGGGTGGGGTGGGGTGGGGGCAGGATTTAATGTGTGCCCAAACTCAGCAGTCATACTATTCTGCTTTTGTAAAGCATCATTCTACGCGATCAAATTTCATGCCCCCAAAGTCCAAGATGAGCGAAAGATCATGTTCACTAAATCCCCACCAGTGTTTAAAAAGACCTGAAATTCACATTTCACTTTAAACATTTTACTTATACCCCAAACAAAATTTAGAATAATGACTTTTGTGGATCTATTGAAGCAAATTCACCAGTAAGGTTTCAAAAATATTTCCAAACGCAGGAACAGCCATGTTCAAAAATTGACCAAGTAGTGATTTTTAATTGCAAGACCTGGTCAAATTCTCTGCGAGCCCCAAGGCCTCGCACTCACACGCACTGTGTCCAGGTTCTCCCTCGCTGCCTTGGACGAAGATCAGTACCTCCCCCTGCAACCTCATCCTTGAAACCTTCACCTGAGCCCATTCCTTCTGCTCTAGTGTCACCTCCAGGCCTCTGCTCCAGTGTCACCTCCTCCACGAAGCCCTCCCAGATGCAGCCCTCCATTCCTCAATCAGTTTCCCTGGACCTGCCAGGCTTCCAGATTTTGAAGCCCTCAACCCATAGCACCAAAATAATATAAAGGAAAAACTGATGCTATGAACCTTATTACCCAGATGAGCACTGGGCCCCATTTTATGGCTGTTTTCCTCTTTATTTTGGGCTTAGCCTCCAGGGAAACAACAGCAACAGGAGGTGGCCAGCGGGAAACCTTGCTAAGATGCAGACGCTTAACCTGCATTTACTTACGGGATCCTCACATCTAAAGGTGTTCATGGCCCGGGGTCCCAGCCGGAGCAAACTGGGGTGGGGAGTTGGGTGACTTACTCTAAACCACCCAGATGAGGCTGGTGGCGCTGGGATTTGAAGCCCAGCTGTCTGATGCCGCAGCCTGTAGAAACCGGCCACCAGGCGGGAGAGTGAAGTACGCAGGCGAGGGGGCCGCTCACCTCCACCAGCTGATGCCAGTGCTCCACCGGCTTGCGGGGGTTGGCCAGCATCTCAGCCCAGTGCTCGCGGCCGTGGGGGTCAGCGGCTTCGGGGCCCACGCGGCACACGCCGATCACCTCGTTGTGCCCAATGCTGGGGGGAGGGGGTGTCAGGAGTGGGGCTGCGGCGGCTCGCCCTGCCCCCCGCCTGGCCTCACCCCCTCACCAGTCATAATCTACCACGGCGATGCTGAGCCCCACGTTCTCCACGCTCTCGGGGGCCACATCGAACACGAGCGCCTCGTTGTACGTGGGGTTCAGTGTGTTCTTCTTGATGGAGGTTTTTCGCTTCTTCAGACGCCGCCCCTCGCTGATCAGAGAGGCCTTCACGTAGGGGTCTGGGGAGGGGGGAGGGGCGGACTGAACCTCGACCTCCACCCTCACCCCGCAGCCCAGACCCCTGCACCCAGACATCCCCCCCCAGGCCTCTGGTCAGACAGGGGCCCGCGGGTGTGGGTTCACTGCTTCTCCTGCCCTCCTCCTTCAGAGCTGATGTCCAGGCCCCGCGCCCTCCCCCAGACTGGGGTCCCTAGGCCCCCTCCCCACCTCCCCCGGACCCCAGAGCCCCTGGAACCCACCCGAGAAGCCAGTGAGGTCCATCGCTTTGAGGTTAGAGGCTTTGATGATGGTCACGGTGAGGCGCCCGGCCGTGGGGAGGTAGCAGAGTGAGAAGTTGAGCTCCCCAAGATCTGCCTTTTCCTGCAGTTAGAGAAAGGGAGTGTGAGCCGCCCTGCCCTGGTCTCCAGCTCTGCTCCCTGACAGGAGGGGCTCAGGCGTCCCACACACCTCACAGCCCGCCTCGCCTCGGGGCACAGCTGGGTGCCCGGCACAGCTGCCCACCGCCGGCAAAGCCCAGTATTCCTCAGGGGGCGGACAAGGGCACAGGGAAGACCACAGGGGATCCCACTATGGGTGAAGCCTGGGGGATCAGGCCGCCAGGATTCGTGGGGACCACAAAGAGACGGTTGAAGGGGAGCGTTAGGGGTGCAGGAGGGAGCGAAGGAGCGTGTCCCAGGTCGGGGAGCGGAGGAGCTGAGGGGAAGGAGGGGAAGTAAGAGCCGGAGCTCCGGGCAGAAGGCGGCGGGCCGGGGGTCCTGGGGAGAGGTCAGCTGGACACACGGGAGGACGGTCGGCCTGGCCCACCCTGTCCCCTGGTGGGTCTGCGATGTTCCCCAGCAAGACAGTTTCGAGGTCAGGCCAGGCAGCGAGAAGGCAAGAAGTCCCCGGGCAAGGCAGTCGAACACGGAGGGGTCCCGGGTCCCCAGGAGGGGGCGTGCGGGCCACTGACCGAGCCGCCCTCCACGATGTCCCTCCACAGCGGGCGGTCGGGGGGCTGCTCGGCCAGCTCCAGGAGGTTGTCCAGCACCACCTGGCCGATGAGGTCGTGCCGCGAGAAGCGGTCAAAGTCATAGACACTAAAGTGCAGTTTGCGCTGCGCCAGCTCGGCCAGGGGCACTGAGAACTGAAAGGTCTCGTTGAAGACGGGGTTCAGGGTCTTTCTGTGCACCTAGAGGCAAGGAAGGGAGACTACACCAGGGCCCCAGCCCCTCCTCCCAGGACCAGGGGTCCAGGCCCCAGCCTCCCCCAGGATCAGGGGTCTAGTCCAGCCTTCCCCAGGACCAGGGGTCCAGCCCCTAGCCTCCCCCAGGATCAGGGGTCCAGCCCCAGCCCCTTCCCCCAGGACCATGGGTCCAGGCCCCCAGCCTCCCCACAGGATCAGGGGTCAGCCCCCAGCCTCCCCCCAGGACCAGGGGTCTAGTCCCCAGCCTCCCCCAGGATCAGGGGTCCAGCCCCCAGCCCCTCCCCCCAGCACCAGGGGTCCAGACCCCCAGCCCCTCCTCCCAGGACCAGGGTCCTGGTCCCCAGCCTCCTCCTTCAGACGGGGAGCCCAGCCCCCCCCTCTGTGGGACCCGCACAGCTTGCCCGCCTCTCCAGACCTTGGTCTGAAACTTCTTCTTGCGGTCGGGCAGCAGGTAGATCTTGACGTAGGGGTCTGAGAAGCCGTTGGAGTCTTTGGCCGGCAGGTCCAGGGCCTGCAGGATCCGCACCACCAGCTGGTCCGAGCCGTAGAGGTACCGCAGCGCGAAGCTGATGCGGCCCGCGGGGGGCCCGGCCCCCGCCTCCCCGCCGCGCCGGCCGGTCCCCTGGTACAGCTCGGGCTTGATCTGCCCGATGAGCTTGGCCTTTTCCTCCCCGCCCGGCAGGGGCAAAGGCAGCGCGGGCGGCCGCTCCTCCGAGCCTGAGTCGGGCTGAGAGGTCAGGGTCTGCTGCGTGAGCGGCCGGGGCAGGGCCGGGTACCTGCGGGGGTGGGAGGGCCAAGGTGGGCCTAGCGAAGACTTGGAAGCCTCCTCCCTGTGTCCTCGCAAACCCCACAGCCAGGGTGGCCCCAGATCCCCCTTTGTTCACTGTGACCTTGAGAAAGTCACGGGACCCTCTGAGCCTCAGTTTCCCCATCTCTAGCCCTCGCCCAGACCAGCCTCCACGAACCACCTCCTGATCTCAAACCAGTGACACAGAATGTCTCCGTGGACCCCCGGGGCCACCTCTGCCCTTCAGGTCTCCCCAAGTCGGGCTCAGCCTCCCCCCACTGACCACTGAGCCGCCCGGCCTGTCCGTCCTTTCTCATCTTCCTTCTCGGGCTGTGTGGAAGCGTCTGGAACTCCCTGGAAGCCCAGAGCGCCATCCGCAACCATCCTTGCTGCCGCCTCCCCTTCTCACCCTCACGCCTTGCCTGGACAAGCTCATCTGCACCCCGGGCCCCCACTTCCAGGCCAGGGTCGCCAAACCTGTCTCCTGAGCCCACCTGGCTCCGCCCACCAGACCCGCACGCCCTGCCCCCGCTCCCTTGATCCACCTGACCAACAGGTGAGACTGCGGCCGCCCACCCCAAGGCCCCTGCCGCCGGTCCTCTACTGCCTGGACCGCCACAGCCGGGGTGCAGTCCCTGGGGCCCCTAGGGATGGTCAGGGCTCGCCAGCCACCACTGGACGCGGCAGGTCCAGATGTGCGGAGGCAGCACAGTCTCAGGACAGGGGCGGGAGGCTTCAGGTAGGGCTCAGCTGGCCACTCCTGGCTCCCAGGAGACCCTGAAGGTCATTGATGCCTCTGGACCTCAGTTTCTTCACGTGCACAGTGGTGGCAGCAGGAGCTCTGGACAACGTGTCCCCCAGCCTCTGGAAGGCCTCCCCAGAGACCGCCAACCGCATTTCCCATGAGTCCCTCAGCCCTGGCCAGCGCCCCAACCAGAATAGCTTCTCCCAGAAATGCTTGGGCCCCAAGGCATCCCCCTTGGATCTGCCCCAGACCCACCCAAGCTCGGGGTCTCCCTCTGGCTCATTCCTTTTCGTTGGTTCTCTGACAACCCATCACCTGCCAGACCACTGAGCCAGCCTCTGGGGGCTCCGTCGCTGCCTCCCACTGCACCGCCTCCCCCCAACTTTTGTGTCCCCTTCTACTTGTCCCCATGGCCTGAACTCTTCCGCCCCTCCCTGCTGGGGGCCAGAGGGGTCTTCCCCACCCCCCACAGTACCCTCGGCCCGGCATGTGAGGCCTGTGTGGCCCCGCTCATGTCCACAGCCAGATCTCCGGGTCTCCTCTCATCACACCCTCCCCTTCCCGCAGAACAGGCGCCTGTGATCCGCCACGGCCTCCTTCCCCCGTCGCCTCTGCCCAGGCTGTCCCCTGCGCCTGGATGGCCCAGCTCACCCCGCCTTTCTGCCTGGCTAGCTCTCCCTCACCTGCGGCCTAAGCCAAGATGCCTCTGCCTCCGGGAAGACCCAGCCGCCTCCCTGGACTCCCAGCGCTGCAGTCCAGTGAGTGGCAAGGCCACAGCGCTGGCCTGGCTGGACCGGACAGCCGGGGGGACCTGCTTTCCCTGGACAGGGAGTGACGTGAGGGCAGGGCCTAGCTGCCGTCCTCACCCCGGGTCCCCAACAGCGAGCTCAGGCCTGCCCCACACTGGGAGCTCCACATGCAGGAGCAGGTGAGGAATACTGAGGGGTACCGCAGGCCACACCCCCGTCCTGCCTTCCACTGAAAGGGACCAGCTGCCTTGCGCCTCAGGGATTCAGCCGCCTGCCCCTCTTCCACCCTCCTGACCCCGGCCACCTCTCTCCAGAGCCGAGTCCAGCCCAAGCGCCTCCTCCCTCAGACCAGGAGTCCAGGACCCCGGCCTCTTGGATCCGGAATCTCTCCCCACCTGCTCCTGCCGAGACTCAGGCGCTGGGCCTCCAGGCCCCTCCCAGGCACTCAGGCCACAGGTGGGGAGCAGCAGGTGTTCAGAGGGCGCCGGCCGCGCCCGCGTCTCACCTGGTGGTGGGTGCGAGGCTGGTGACCTGCTGGTGCGACTGGGCGCTGGGCAAGCCCCCGCCGCTGGGGGGCAGCAGCAGCAGCCCGGAGCCCGCGCCTCCCTCAGAAGGCAGCTCGGGAGACGTCTGGCTGGGCTTGACCCCCGCGGCCACGGCGGCCGCAGCGGCCTCGGGATAGGAGTCCATGTCCAAGTAGGAGGGCTCAGGGGGGTCGGCGCCCCCCAGGCTGCCCGGCTCCAGCAGCTCGGCGAAGGGCGGGTGGTGGCCCGCGTGGGCATGGTGGTGCGGGCCCAGCAGGGGGTGGCCGCCCAGGCCGGCCCCCAGGTGGTGCCCGCCGCCGCCGACCAGGCCGGCCAGCCCCACCCCGGGGCCGAGGTCCTTGCGCAGGGGGCCGCCGCCCACTGCCGAGCCGCCCTTGTCGCGCCAGGGCACCCAGCACAGCTTCCAAGACACGAAGAGGGAGACGCCCAGGAGGACGATGCCGCAGAAGGTGACGATGACCGACAGCAGGCTCACGGAGATGTCTGCGGGGGGAGCGCAGCGGTCAGGCGGGGCCGGTCCGTCCTCTCCACCCGGCTCCCAGAGACCCCGCCCCGCTTTCCCCGGCCCCGGCCTGAGCGCTCCTCATATGCTGGTTTTAGCTCCACTGCCGGAGCGGTCAGGTGCCCCCCCACCACTCCAAGGCCAGGACGCTAAGGCCCAGAGAAGGCCGGTGCTGTGGCAGGCTGCACAGGTGGCCTGACAGGTAGCCCGACAGGTGTGGGTCCCGACGGCGCTTCCCGGCGGTGCGGCTTTGCAGGGAGGCTCTCTCTGCTGACCTCAGTTCCCTCTTGTGGAAAACGGACACAGCTGCACAGCCAGCTAATGCGCACCGCAGCCTGGGGCGGAACCCCCCAAGGTTCCCAGACAGGTGTGGGTCCCAATAGGTGTGAAGCCATCTGGCTTCAGGTTCTGCTCTCTTAATAGTTGACCCGCCTGCCCCTCCAGGGAGGAAGGGTTCACCCTCTGAGACAGGGCCAAGGTCCCCCAAAATGTCCATAGAGGTTCAGAGAGGGCGGGCCGCTCAGGGTCCACCCTCAGCTTGCTATGTGGCCTGGCGGGGGGCGGGGGGCCTGTCTTAACCACTCTGAGCCTTACAGCCTCCATTTCCCAAAGAGGAAAGATCCTGCATCTTGTGGTGGCTTTAAGGGGCAGAGGTGGGGGCGCAGCAGACAGCAGCACACACCTGGGGAGGCTCGGGGGTTCCCACCCCCCAGGCTGCGGTACACATTAGCTGGCTGTGCAGCTGCGTCCGTTTTCCAGAAAAGGGAACCGAAGTCAACAGAGAGAGCTTCCCTGCAAAGCCCCACCGCTGGGAAGCACGGCCAGGATTTGAATTGGGTGGGGGGGGGTCCTGCTGCAAGGCCCAAGGTCATCCCCCCGGGGTCTGCTGACAGAGGATGACCGGAAGCTCAGGCCAGGTGTCACCACCCCCTAAGCTTCTCTCTGGGTGGATTTTAATCAACACTTTCACCCCAATAAAATGTAACAGGAATATAACAGCTTCTCTCAGTCATGTGGGTCCTTCTAGAAAACCCTGAAACCTGACCACGGGCTTGGGGATCCCTGAGTTGCGGTAGAGAATCACAATCAGATTGTGGCCCTTCTCTTACAGGCTGTGGGAGTCACAAGCCCTGCAGCTCTCTGGGCCTTTGTCATCGCTGTCCCCCCACGTTTGTAGGCAGGTCACCCCAAGCTTTACACGTGACCATCCCCCGTCCAGCTGGACCAGGCCACGGACACACCACTTCCTGGCTCTGGGAACCCTGCTGCTTCCTGGTGGGTGACCTTGAGCAGATCACGTCACTCTTTTGAGCCTCAGTTTCCCCCATGGCACATGGATCATCATGAGCAGTCAATGAAATAAACCCACCCCAGATGCTGCCCGGTACACAGTCGGCGCTCAATAAGTGCATTCCCAGTATGTATGGAATGATCTCTGTGGGCCAGCTTGATTTAAGCGCTTCGGTGGATTCTGGCACTTGAATCTGTCCACTGCCCCACGAGATAGTGACTTTCATTATCCCCACAGGGTGACTTTTATTATTGCCATGGATGAAGAAACTGAGGCACAGAAGAATCGTTTGCCTACATCATCAAGTTAGGAAGGGAGGAAGGTGGGACTCAGACCCAGACGCTATGTGAGCTGCACCCAGATATTTGAAGGGGAGATGTGGCAGCAGTAGGGGAGCCCCAGGCAAATACCCCAAAGGTTCAGGGGTCACTGGACCACCGAGCTCCTCCTTAGACCAGAGGTCCGGGGGACCAGCAGCAGGCAGGAGGGAGGCAAGACTCTAGGAGAACCCGGCCCCCGGGAGCGGAGAGCTGAGCGGGTCTGTTCTGACTCTCTGGAGAGCCAGCTGCGGCGGCCGAGACGCTGGGGTGCTGACCTGCATCTGGACCCCGGGGGTAGCCTCGGATTCGCAGGTTGTCGAACTCCTGGCACCTGTCACTGGTGTCGGCATCTCGGACCCGTGTGCAGAGTTCCGAGACCAGGATGATGGCCCTCCGGCACAGGTCATCCTCGTAGTCCCCCGACATGGTGGCCGGCGGGTCCTGTCCTCAGGAGGGTGCAGGCGGGGGCGCGGGAGGAGGGAGAAGGTGATGGGCATGCGGAGACAGAGGAGGCAGGGCAGGCCAGGGGATGCGGGTGGGACATAGAGGACGGGTGAGGGGACAGATATGAGGGAGGAATGGAAGAGGGAAAATAAATTAGGGGCAGAATAACAAGAGGACTGAGATCCGGGGGCAGAGCAGAGGACATAAACAGGGCGGACAAACAAGGGGACAGTGTGACACGAATGGACAAGGGGACAGAGAACAGGGACGAATGGACAAGGAGGAAGAACCTGGACGGGCCGGTCAAGGGACAGTGATGGAGGAGGCCCAGATAAAGGGGTGGGCAGACGAGGAGACCAGATTAGGGCGCACAGGCGAAAAGACAGGCCCTAGGGATGAACAGACAAGGGGACACTCATTCCATCATCCATTCGCTCAGCAACTCTTCAGTGAGCACCAACTACACGCCAGGCACGGTGCCAGCTGCTGCAGATCCAGCAGGGAACCAACCCCACGCGTCCCCCGACTTCCTGGTGTCACGACCCGTGAGGGGAGACAGGCGTAAACAGGTCACCAAACACCTGAACAGACAGGACGCGCCCACTGGGAGACGTGGTGGCCAGAAACAGCTGGAGCACCTGGCTCAGGGGGAGTGGGAGGCAAGGTGGGGTGAGGTCCCAGGGGATTCTCTAAGACCCAAAGGAGGAGGTGGAGCGGGCAGGGGCAGTGGGGCTGGAGCAGGGAAAAGCATTCAGAGCAGCAGGAACAGCACAGCGATGGCCCGGGGTGGGCCAGGGCTTGTGGCGAGCTCCAGGTATGGAAGGAAGCTGGATGGGAATAGACAGGGGAGCAGCAGGAGGGCTGGGCGGGGTGTGGTGCTGGCTGGGGAGCCATGGAGAGGCAGGGGGCAGAGACAGGGGCCAAGCTGGTGGGGGGAGGGCAAACTGGGGCCCAGAGGAGGCAGACAGAGGCAACAGACACACAGGAGATAAGTGTAGGCTGGAGACTTGGGGTGAAAAGCCATAGAGTCATCTGGTGGGTAATTCAGGGGAACACAGAGAAAGGTGGGAAGCCGGGCAGTGAGGAGGCAAGAGTGTGGCCAGAAATACCTTCAGGAGAAAGCCAGGGAGCCGGAGGATGGACGGGGTGCAGAAATCAAGGGTGGACACTTGGGGTGGGAATCAGAGAGGGACCACAGGCTGCGGGGGGCGCGCACCGAGCCCGGGGCAGAGCAAGGCTGGGCGGTGGGGGAGTCGAGGGGGGCGAGGCATACATGAGGGGCCCAGGAGGAAGCGGCGGATGTGGGCAGAGGGCAAATTGGCGACACATGGTTTGGAGTCAGACATCAGCGCGGGGCTGGAAGGAGGGCGCAGGGGAAATCAGGGACAGACAGAGCAGGGCTGACAGATGGACAGGTGCCGCGGGGGGCTGCAGAAGGCCGGCGCTCGGAGACCCGGCGCGGGCAGACTCACCTGCGCTTATCCCTGCCGTGTCCTGGATGGCAGCCGAGGCGGCGGCTGGCGGCAGCCCATGGGGGTTGCAGGGCGGACCAGGGGCTGCAGACCTGGCCCCACGCGCCAGGTGGTGAGACGGGGTGCCGGGTCTGGGGGTGCGGCGGGAGAAAAGGGTCGATCTGAACCTCACATCTTGTCTTACTCGGGCCAGCCGCTCGACCCCAGGCGACCTCCGGGAGGTCCAGCCACCCCTCCCTCCCACCTCCCGGCCCCCAGCGTCCGCTGAGCTGAGACACTACAACTCCCGGCAGGCCTCGCGCCCGCGCTGCAGCGGCTCTATAGCCCTGGCGCTGCAGGGACTGCTGGGAGTTGAGGTCCTGAGAGCCTCTCCCGGCTGCAGAGGGGATGGGAATTTTTTTGGAGGTGGGGGGGTTGGCAGATGCCGGGGTCCCAAGGCGCTGCAGGGGGCAGAGGAATGATGTCCCGGACCTAGAAGGCCCCGGGGCCATAAATCCTTCGGGCCCGAGAGCGGGTAAGCGAGTCCTACGCCCGGGGGAGCAGTGGGCGAGGACTGGGGTACACCCAGGTGTTTCGGGACGCCCCCTCCTCCAGAGCCACGTGCCCTTCTCGGGGCAGCCGGCAGGCGCCGCAGCGCTGCCCTCCCCGGCCGGAGGCCCGCGCGCCCGGGCAGCAGCCCCCGCCCCCACGCGCGGGGCCGCCCCCCGGGATCTGGCTGGGGCGGGGGCCGAGGGGGGAGGGGAGGCGCGGACTCACCGGAGCGCCGCCGTCGCCGCAGCCCCGCGCGCCCGCCGCGGTGCCCGCCCGGCTCCTCCCCTCGCCCTGTCGCAGGTCCGCGGCTCCTCCCCTGCACCCCTCCCGCCTCCCCTCCGAACCTGCGGCTGGGGCGCCGACACCGCGCGGCCGCGGCGAGCAGGGCGGGAGGCGCCCCGGACCCCGGCGCCGGAGACCCGGCGCGCTCCCCCGTCCCGGCCCCGGGGCCCCGGGTCAAGCGCCCCTCACACCCAGGGGCCCGGCCCAGCCCATCTTTTCGCAGGCGGGGAACTCCGGGACCCCAGTCACCTCTTCTCCCAATGCCCCTGAGCTCCCCGCACCCCTACTCCATTCTCAGATCAAAGGGTTTCCCGCCCCCACCTCCCAGCAGCTAGCACCTCACATCCCACCCCCCAGTCCCGCCCGGCCTGGGGAACCCGGGCTGCTTTGAGGGCGGGGAGGCGGAGCCTGGAGTCCCGGCCCCCGGGGGCGGGGGCGGGGGGATCCCGCGGGGACCTGGGTTTGAATCCGGCCTGGCGCTCTGAGCGCTGAACCCCAACTTTCTCGTGCACAGCACGGACGATGCCTGTGTTCACTAAGGGATTCAGAGGGTTGGAAAAAACAGTCACTATAAACTCCCGCATTGGCACCAAGTAGGTGCTTAATGAGCATGTCTTCAAAGCAGCGAGTAACAGTTAAGGGCGGATTAATAGCCGTTCAGGATAATTGCCACGCTAAGTGCTCTGGAAGCGTTTTCTCATTTAATCTTCGCTTTGGTTCTCGGAGGTGGATGCAGTTATGTTAGTCCCATTTCACAGAGGAGACAGCTGAGGCTCAGGGAGGTTAAAGCCTTAGAGACAGACCAGGGCCACAGCAACAGCCAGCAGGGGTGCCTTGGAGGCCCCCCCATCATCCTCAATGCTGTCTCCTCCCAGGGGCACCCTATAAATATAATCTAATTAAAAACCGCTTGCTTCTTCTGCCAACACAATTTTAAGACAAGTCTGGTAGGAGTTGAGTCCTAATTCCCGCGAGGTCACCCCTCCACCACCACCCCCAATTGTTGCCTCTATACATTTGATCCTTGAATAACTGGGGTCTGAACTGCCTAGGTCCAGGGTACGGGGGATTTCGTTGTACACAGAGGTGAACTTCCTGTGAAGGTATTTGCTCTTCCTTCTGCTTTTCTTTTTCTGCTTTTTATTTTTTTTAAAGATTTATTTATTTATGCACACAAGAACACCTCTGCATACAAGGCCAGAGGTGTGTGTGAGGGGGGTTAGAGAATTCACCAGAGACAGAGTGGGGAGCAGAACGGGCAGATCTACGGAAATACTCTGCTGAGGGGAGCAGCGGGGAGACAGGAGAGGTCTGCTGCGCCATGTGGGTAGCTCCCTGGTCGGGGCTGGAACTCATTCTGCAGAGGCTGTGGACAGCTTCATAGGCCGCATCTTAACCCCTTGCACCACCAGGGAGGCCCCTTCTTTCTGATTTTCTTAATGGCATTTCCTTTTCTCCAGCTGACTTGATTGTAAGAATATACTACAGGGGACGCACATCTGTTATTATGTGTTCACAGCCTGTTTATATTAGCCACAAACCTTCCCATCAACAGCAGGCTGTTCGTAGTTCTGGGGGAGTTAAAAATTATACCTGGATTTTTCACTGCGAGGGGGTGGGTGTCCCGAACTGCACCCGATCCCTCCACCCCCCCATCGCTCAAGTCTCAATTTGCAGTCTTGTCATTCTGTAGAATTCCCCAGAAGCACCGCCCAGATTCACGGCAATCCTGTCTCCATGCTGCTCGCATCCTCACAGATGGACCTACAGTTGCACCCAGGAAGCTGTGCCGGGGACACACCCACGGTGTGTGTGCGCATGCAGCTCCCCAAAACCCACTCAAAATCAGGCCTTTGCACCCAACCGGGGCTGCCCAGGGTCACGGGCAGCCAGTTTCCCAGAGAAGCACGTGGAAGGCAGCACACAGGAAGCGCACAGTCAGCGCTGTGCACACAGACGAGCTGGCCGAGACACGCTTCCAACGCGTGCTCGCACAGATGGCCCACAGGCGCATGGAAACGTGCTCCTCTACACGTATTGGCAGGGAAATGCAAATCAAAACCACAATGAGATAGCACCTCACTCCCATGAGAACAGCCGGCCCCAAACAGCCCAGAAACAAGTGCTGGGGAGGGCGGAGAGGTCTGGAATAGCCCCGGCCCATACTGTGGAAAATAGTATGGCTGCTTCTCAAAAAATTCAATGCAGATCTACCCTGTGGCCCAGCAATGCGAATCCTAGGAAGCTACCCAAGGAATTGCAAACACTCTTCTGTGTTCACTGCAGCCCCGTGTGCCACAGCCGGGTCCCACCAACAGCCCAGGCGCCAGCGCCAGATGAGTGTGGAGGAAGATGCTATGGTCTGTGCGTGTGGTGGAATATTACTCAGCTAGCAACAGAGATAAACTTGCCGTTTGCAACAACGTGGACGCAACGGAGGGCATGGTGCTCAGCACGATGAGTCAGGAGAAGGCAATGTCAGATGGTTTTACTCCTATGGGGAGCACAGAGAAACGAAGCAAAGGAGGTGACAAAACTGAACCAAACCATAGAAATCTGACTGTGAATTGAGGCTCCCCGAGGGCCATCTGGGGATGGGATTATGGGATTCCAGTGGACTATGGTGGGGGGCTGTGGGTGCTTTGGTGGAAGGTGTGGGTGGCGTCATGCACCGGAAGAGGCATGAACCTATATACCTCTGAATCTTTTTTTTTAATTTATTTATTTATGCAGACAAGAACTGGGGTACAGACCAGAGGTGTGGAAGGGTAAGAGGAGTCACCAGAGACAGAGTAGGGAACAGAACAGCAGACTGACTGAAACACACTACTGAGGGGAGCAGCGGGTGAGACAGGAGAGGTCTGCTGCGCCATGTGGATAGCTCCCTGTCCGGGGATCGAACTTATGCTGCAATGGCTGCGGACAGCTTCATAGGTTGCGTCTTAACCCCTTGCACCACCAGGGAGGCCCCCAGTTTTTTTTTTAAACCCAGCTTCATTAAGCTATTTTGAGGGTTAAGTTAAATTCATACAAAGTGCTGAGGAAAAATAGGTAGTGTTTGCTGTTGTCACAATTAGTGATTAGCTCGTGTGTGCTTGACCTGCATTTTACAAGTGAGGAAACTGAGGCTCAGAGAGGGCAAGTGCCCTGCCCACGGTCACACAGCTGGGAAGAGTCAGAGGTGAGAGTGAAAGTCATGGGGGTTTGAAACTAGAGCCCTGGGTGCAGGCCCTAGCGGTGTGGCCTTTGGGAGTGGAAAAGAGCATAGCGCAAGGCCTAGGGTAGGAGGGAGTTTGGCACGCTGGGGAGGACTGCTGAGCACTGCAGATGCGCAGGGGAGCACTGGTTAGGTTTAGCACTATGTCCCCACTGCCTGACACAACAGTGCACAGAGCCACTCGGTTGAATGAATGAACAAGTGGATGGATAAATAGAGGAGTGTGTGTGTGTGTGTGTGTGTGTGTGTATGTGTGTGTATTGAGGGATGGGGGAATGGGTGGGTGGATGAATAAGTGGGCGGATGGAGGGATGGGTGGTGGGTGGGTGGAAGGATGAGTGGGTGGATGGAGGGATGGGGGTGGGTGGGTGGAAGGATGAGCGGGTGGCTGGCTGGACTGGTGGATGCTTGACTGGATGCTTGGAAGAATGCTTGGAAGGATGGCAGGTGAATGGATGAGTGAATGGTTGAATGGGGGGTGGGTGAAAGGATAGGGGTGCTTGCGTGGGTGAGGTCCAGGTTGGACAGCGGCTGGCAGGGTGGATGGAAAGGTGAGTGACTGGGTGAGGGGAAGGGTGGCTGGATGCTTGGCGGAGGGGGCCTGTTTGGAGGGCTGGCTGGGCGGCAGGAAGGACGGTGGAGGAGGAACGGTTACACGCATGCATGCACGAGCCAGTGGACCATGGACGGCTTTGCACAAACACCCACAGATTTATTCACAATGTGCCTGGAAATAGATGCAGACACACCCAGACACACACACGTGTGTCAACACAGACGCACCTCTTCTGAGAAAGGAAAGCGGCACTGGCCGGGCGGCAAAGTCTGAGCTGGGCTACAGCCAGCCCCACCCCACCGCAGCGCCAACATCCCTCTGCCAGAGGAGGAGAGTGCTGATTCAGGGATTCGTGCCCCAGGCCACCTGCCAGCCAGGGAGGAAGGGGCAGGGGTGGCCTGAGGGATGGGGTGAGTGGCAGGTGGGGCTACGACAGGGACAGGGATGGAGCGAGACAGATGGAGGGACACAGAGAAACAGAGATGGGGAGAGGGAGGGAGGCAGGGAGAGGACGCAGCAGGAAGAAGCTGCAGGAGAGGCAGCTACAGCGAGGCCCAGAGAGCCTGAGTCTTGAGCTCTCCACTGAGGATTGTTCAGGAGTTCAAGGTCTGGTCCCTGGAAAGCCGGGAGCAGATGCTCACCGCGCAGGAATCAGCAAGGCTGAGACAGCTGGGAGTGCAAGAAAGGTGAGGGCTAGAGACTGGGTCACAGGAGCAGAGACTGAGGGCACAGACAGGGCCACGAGGGGAGGGGAGGGAGGTCATCGGGCTGCTGAGAAGAAAGGGGTGCCCAGTGGACGCCTGTGTGGCTAGACCCCTTCGCTCCTGCACTGGAGTCCAGGGAGCCCCCAGACTGAGGCCCCAGGCCCCCAGACCTCCTCCCTCAGACCCAGGAGCCCAGACCCCGCCCCCACCCCCCTCCCCCCTCAGACCCAGGAGCCCAAGCCCCGCCCCTCCCCCTCCCTCTGAAGGTACCATGGCGACCAGGCCCCCTGCCCACCTCCCCCTCCCCCTGGTAGAATCCAGTTTCTGTTTGAATCTCCCCTGTGTCTACCAGTGCCTTCGTGAGACAGGGATGAGCGGAGGGCAAGTGGGACCAGAAAGGGGGTGACAGTGGGGAGGGGAGCCAGGGAGCATGGCAAAGACAACCATGAGAGGAGAGGATGGGGCGAGAGGGAGAAAAGGAGCCTGGGGAGAGCTGGGGAGGCGGGTAGGGAGGCAGAGGGGCTGACAGGGTTACAGAGAGACAGAAAACTATGAAGAGAGAGAGGGATGGGGGTCTAGGGAGTCCGCGGGGAAACTGAGGGAGGAAAAGGGGGTGATGGAGCAGGGGAGGGGCAGAGCAGTGGGGAGGGCAGGGGAATCCAGGGAGAGGATGGAGGAGAGGCAGGGAGGGAGACTTCGAGAAATGAGGGAAAGGAGACTGGGAGACAGGCAGGGCTGGAAGCGGGCAGAGAGGTGGGGGGACAAAGAGGAAGCCAGGGGGAGAGAGCGGGGTGGGAAAAGAGACTTGAGGAGACAAGGAGAGGTGCAGGAAGAGGCTGGAGGGTGGGGAAGAAGTTGGGGCACCCAGGGGTTCTCCGAGGTTAGGGGCACCGGGATCCCTACGTGGCCTCAGTCTTGCAGTTCTCTATTCCCCCCCTGGGGCTCCAGAGTGGAGGAGGAGGCAGCCTCCAGGAGAAGGAGCTGGGGCAGATGGCCCAGTCAGAGCTCTTCTCCCCCCCTTCCTGAGACATCCCCCACCCGCCTCCCCAGGATCCAGCCAGAGGCGGCGCCCCTGGGCTCCTCCACCCTGGGCTTGCGCAGGGAGGCAGGTACTGAGCTGGGTCTGTCTGTGTGGGGTGCTTGGGGGGGATTTCCTTCAGCCACACATTGTGCGGTAGCCCTGGCTTCCAGCGTGGCCATCAGCCAGTCACTAGTCTTCCAGAGAGAGCCACCCCAGACCCTTAGGTCCGCCCGATTCCTGGACTGTCCCCTTTAGACTTCAAACTACATTCCCCCATGAGCCCCATGCAGTTCCTGGGCCAATGTTTGGGATCCAGAACTACATTTCCCATGAGTCTCTGGGGCCTGAACAATTCCTCTGAGGTCCTTCTCTCCCTGCATGCCCTGCCCTGACCCCTCACATTCTCCTGCCTCCCGCATTCATTGACTTCAGCATCTTTCCCCCAAGCCAGTCCTTCCCCCTGCTCTCACTGCACTAGACCCCCAAGTTCTACCCCCTACCCCATTCCCAGTCATCAGCCTCCAGCCCCAACTCTCTCTGCCCCACCCCTACCTCTTCCCCACACACTTCGGTCTCCTCTTCCCTAAGGACACTTTCTCCATCTGACTCCTCATTCCTTCCTTTCTCCCCTCCAGCCCCTCCCCAGCTTGGCTCCAGAGAAGTCTTTCTGACACCCAGTGCTAGGCCTGTCTCTCCCCTGTTCACAGGCCTCCCTCAGTCCCCATCACCCCAGGATAGGGCTCCTGCCCATCAGCCTGTCGGGCTGAGACCAGCCAAGGCTGGTCCTATTTCAGGGCCCCCTCCCTCCTTGCACTCTGCTGTAGCACAATTCATTCATTTGTTCACTCATTCAACATTTATCGAGTAATGTCTCAGCGAGGATGCATTTGCCTGGCAAGTAATAGAACACTGGACTCTGTCAAAGGTGGGGCAGGGTTTGCATTTGGTTGAGTCAGCAGTTCGAGGAAGTCATTGAGAACCCAATGTCGATTTCCCTGCTTTCTGCTGGTCATGCAGAGATCCCCTTTGCACACCAGCTGTCTTGCCTGATGGTCACAAAGTGGCTGCCACAGTTCCAGGCATCACTTCCAGAGGTGTTCATTCTCAGGCTCCCCAGATGACCTCTCCTCCTCTCATTGGCCAGCAGCACGCAGTCACCCACCCACTCAGCTCCTGGCAAAAGGAATGGGCTCCTCTTCATTATTTCAGTCCCTGGTCCTCAACTCTGGCTGAACACGTGGTGGGAGGAGTAAGAAATAAAAAGAACCACCTCATCTAACCTTACTCAGATCCAATTTAATCAGAATCTCCAGGACTGGACCCTAGTCTTGATATTTTTGGAATGCTTCCAGGTGATTATGAAGGGTTGGGAGACATTGGTTTAAATTGGATGGGGTATCCCTGAAGGAAGTGGGGATCAGACGCACTGCTCAGACTGAAAGGATCTCCTTTTTGGGTGTCTGCTGAAGACATACTCAGGGCCAGGGGCATTGCTAGGCGGAGCCAACACCCTAGTGACAAAACAGACCCCATTTCTCTGTCCTCCAGTCTCTTTTAATTTTTTTTTTTTAAGATTTATTTATTTATGCATACAAGAGCTGGGGTACAGGCCAGAGATGGGGGGGGTGAGAGGATTCACCAGAGACAGAGCGGGGAATAGAACAGGCAGGCAGACTGAAATACACTGCCAGGGGAGCAGCAGGCGAGTCAAAAGAGGTCTGCTGCGCCATATGGGTCAGCTCCCTGGCCAGCCGGGGATCGAACTCGTGCTACAGAGGCTGTGGACTGCTTCATAGTGCATTGCTTAACCCCTTATGCCACCAGGGAGGCCCCTCTTTTAATGTTTTAAAGGCTTCTTCTTTAAGTGACCATACCCCACACCATCTGTAACCTAGACTGAAGCAACCACCTGAGAAATATAATTTGTGTATAGTTCCAGAAAAACTGAGTGCAATTAGTTGACTAGTTGGCCGATTTTGTAGGTCAATGTTTGTTCATTTCATTCATTCATTCATTTTAAGTGGCGTTATTTTGTAGTGAGGTGACATTGGCTTACAAGACAGTATGGTTTGGAGGTGCAGGCTCACATCTCTTCAGATGCGTGTTCCCTACTTTTCATTTCAATTCTGCTGTTTTCTGTTTGCTTTTAGTGGTATTTTGGAACCAATAACATTTTTGATGATCGGGTTGCAAACGTTGGCACAGGCCCTTCGGAGGCTGATGGGTCCCAAGTGTCTGCCTATAGTGCCAAATGAACGAAATGACCCAGCCTATTCTTGGGCAGAGAGGGCAGACATGAAACACACATCTCACAAATAATTAATAACCTACGACTGCGATCAGTGTTCCTTAGTCTTGGGGCTGAAGAGAATTCTGGGAAGTTTCTGAGGTGATTCTAAATTGCTTAAAGACTTTAGCCCCTGGTGATCCCTCTGCATGAAACATCTAGTTCCTTGCAACTTCTTGGTCATTGCAGACATCACCTCCTCTAGGGAGACTTCCCTGATTGCCTCCAAAAGTGGGCTTCCCTTCTGCCTTGTGGCCTACACTTCCTTGCACAGTAGAAAGGGAAGTGAAGCATGTTGAAGTGTGAAGTTGTGCTTCCAAAATGATAGTTTTGTAAATGAATGGAAAATCAAGAAAAAACAATTTTTAAAAAAGTAAAAGAACCCACTCTGCTATTGTCATGGGTGAGTGGAGAAAGGAATTAGGAGTCTGTTCTCTAGATGAGTTTGGGGGGAGAGGCAGCAGGCTGGGAGACAGAGAACATACACTCTCCCAGGTGTAAAGATTTTTGCCCTGCTTCTATCACATCAGGCTCTGTGACACCGGGCAAGTCACTTAATCTCTCTGTGCTTCCGTTTCATCATTTATTAAACTACCCTATCTCGGGAGGTTCTTGTGAGTAGGCAGTGGAAGGTGCTTTTGAAAGTGCTTGGCTTTTTAAAAGGGACTATAAACACGCAGTTATTATGACTGTTAAGTGGGCAGGCTTGAGGAGATGACTCCGTTGGCGGGTTGGAGGGGAGGCCAAGATGGCGGGAGGAAAATGACCAGAGAGGTCAACAGGGGTGGCCACACGCAGGGAAGGGGCTTCTCAAAGGGGATCTTGTTTTGAAGTGCAGATTCAGATCCAGTACATCCAGGTGGACCCTGAAACGCTATGTTTCACACAAGCCCCCCAGATCACACTCTGGGGGACAAGCCTCACCACAGTGAGAATTTTATCCTGAGGACAAGAGGAAGCCTCTGGGGGTGTGGAAGCATGGGACGCTGAGACACCCCAGCTGCCCTGCAGAAAAACGCGGGAGGTGGAGGACAGGGACCAGGGGGGCGGTTACTCTGGTCTAAACAGAGCTGTGGCAGCGCACTGAAGGCAAAGGCTGCCAGCTGGGTGTGGAGACAGCCCCACTGGCTCCCGAGAGTCGATTGTTGAATTTTGCAAGCTGGTTGTTAAAACTGTGGGTAGCATGAAATTGGCCACGGGAGAAGTACTGACACCATGAAAACTGACAAATGTTGCAATCTGTGAGCGAGACAGAGAACCAGCCCATTTGCAACCAGCTTGTTGACTTGGAAAGCCAGGGACTTTACCCACGAAAGGTTTTAGTCCCCGGGGTGCTAGCAAGGACTTCTGTGAGACTGGGATGTGTCAGGTGACTTGGGAGACTCAGGGAAGTGGGCTTTGCTGGGCTGGACACTGGTAGGGAGTGGAGGCGAGCCCATGAGGGCAGAGGAGTGAGCGGTGCTCGTGGGAAAAAGACAGCATCAGCCCCCAGCAGAAAAGGGGGGGGGGTGATGGCCATTGTGTTCTGGGCCCCAGTTTGGCTGTGTTGAGACATGACCCCCAAAGACCTTATTTTTATCTTGGTCCACCATCATAGAGTGGTCTTGACTATGTTGGTAAAATTTCTTAGGCCCGAGCGGGGCGCTAGACCTGGCCAGGAATGCCATGGCTGTCGGGAGCTGCTTTCTGCTTTGGCAGCTAAAAGAGACCCCCCACCCCTCGCCCTCCGCCAAGTGCGGTGGCATTGAGACAGTTTATCTCCCCCTCGTGTAAGGGGAGGCAGGTGTCTGGATCCGTGGGGCATGTCACCCCCACCAGATAATTTGGGAGTCCAGGTTCCCGCCCGATGGTTGTTCCATCATCTCCTGCCTGGTTGAAGCCAGCTATGGCTCCACTCACCTTCCAGGCCCAGGGAAGGGCAATGGGTCTAAGGCAAACGCACTTCTTTCAAGCAAACGACTGCAAAGTTGGACTCTCCATCTCCCTGACACTTTTGGGGAGACCTGAGTCATGTGGTCACCCCTAGCTGCAAGGAAGGCTAGGAATATTTCCTGCAGGTGGTAGGTTGTGTGCTGAGTAATTTTCTAGGATCATAGAGGGAGGGGGACATGGATCAAGGTGACAGCTAACGATTGGCCATAAGAGACCCAAGTGGCCAAAGGTGGGTTTGTCTAGAAGGGTCTAGATGTGAGAGCTGTCAGCAGGCTGGTTCCAATGCGAGGCCACTTCTGAGGGTGGTGGAAAAGCCACCAACTGCATTCAAACGCTGCTGCTGGGGCTGAGGGACGCTGGTGTTAGTGGACCAGAAGAGAAAGCAAAAGGGCAAATCCCTCCGTCAACCTTCCGCCTGCAGCCTCCCTCTTGGTAGAGCCTATTAGGTAGCGCCCCCTTTAGGTAGAGCCTATTAGGAACCCAGTTGGCAAAGCAGAAGTGGCGAAGGTAGAGCTCCAACCCGGTTATCACAGAGCCGGGGTAAAAGGGTGGAGTTTGGAACTGAGACTCGGTAGCTTAAACTGGCATGACGGGGTGGCATGGACAGCACATGATGATGCCCATTTGAGCAGAGTATGTCTGGGGAAGGCTCAGAGCAGCTAACGATGGCTTCTCCGTCCCCAGGAGCCCTCCTTGTGGACCTAGAGACCCCGGAAGAGATGAAGGTTCAACGCCTGAGCAGGCCGGCCAAATCCTCGTGAGTGGCCCCGGGTCCCATGACTTCTTTTTTTTTTTTTTTTTTTTTTTTTTAATAGAGGCATGTTTTATTTATTTATTTGTTTGTTTGCTTGTTTTGTTTATACATGCACTGGGTACAGTCAGAAGCACGGGAGGGTGAGAGAATTCACCAGAGCCAGAGCAGGGAGCAGAGCAGGCAGAAGGACCAAAGTACACTGCTGAGGGGAGCAGCAGGAGGCAGGAGAGGTCTGCGCGCCATGTGGGACCCTCCTCCGGTGGCCGGGGAGCAGCCGGGGATCGAACCGGTGCTGCAGAGGCTGTGGGCAGCTTCGCAACCCAGCGCTCAACCGCTGTGCCACCGGGGAGGCCCGTCCCATGACTTCTTAGCTCAGCTTCCCCCCAGTGTGTGCCAACGCAGCGACCCCTGACCTCGGCGGCCTCGCCTGCTCGCTCTCTCCCCAGGAAGCAGTACCTGCGTCAGGTCATCGCAGAATATGAGGCGCTGGATCGAGAGCTCCCGTGCATCCGCAAGTTCCCCGCGCAGCCCACCACTCAGCCGCTCTGCCTGTGTATGGAGACCTTGGTGAGCGGCCCCGGCCCCAGGCCCTGGTGTCTGCAGAATCGGGGCGGGGTACTGGAAAGGGCATGGGCTCAAAAGTGAGGTGCACAGGTGGCCCCGCAGCGCTGTGGGTTCGGCGCCAGGAGGGTTACTGAGAACTGAGTGTGAATTTGTCAGAAATTCAATCATCAAATTAATTGATGCTTCCTCTCCCGAGGAGAGGCCAAGGGGCAGGCAGTGGGGGAGACGCCAGGCAGAAAAGAAAGGTGGTTGAAAGACAAAGCTAGGGGCCTCCCTGGTGGGGCAGTGGGTTGAGCACCGTGCTGTGAAGCTGTCCACAGCCTCTGCAGTGCAGGTTCGATTCCCGGCCGGGCAGGGAGAATCCCACATGGCGTGGCAGACCTCTCCTGTCTCGCCCACTGCTCCCCTCCGCAGTGTATGTCAGTCCATCTGCCTGTTCTGCTCCCCGCTCTGTCTCTGGTGAATCCTCTCACCCTTCCGTGCCTCTGGCCTGTACCCCGGTTCTTGTATAAAAATAAAAAAAAATCTTAAAAAAAAAGAAAGACTAGGCGAGAGGAGACGGAGTTCTGCTAATACAGCGATTGTGAAATTCTGCAATGTGTACAAATATAACAAAAATTCGTAAGAAAAAAAACAACATGTTTTGGTCAGATTTGGCAAACTGGTCGTTCGGCGCGGATCCTTTGCCAGTCCCTGTCCTCAACCAGGGGAGGTGCCTACTAGGGTCTCAAGCCAGAAGTGAATGAGAGGAGGTCACATTAACCGGGCGCTTATTGTGTGCCAGGCTCCCCCAGCTCACCTGGGTGACTCATCCCAACACAGGACCTTCTGTCCTTGTTTTAGAGACCACCTCCACCCCGAGGCTCTCCTCTGTGGCTTTAAACATGGGGACCCCCACATAAACACTCGAGGCTGACCTTCTGGAGGTGACCAATTTCATTTCAGTTCCTCAGCAATGGTGCACCACCTCGGACCGGTTATCTCGTGCTGAAAGTGTGGCTCGTTATCAGTGTGTTTCTGAGTGTTAACTGGATAGACAAGGAGCCATTTTTGACCCTGCTTTTTTGACCTCCTTAAATATCTAATATGAGCCTAAAGGGGAAGCATACGACTGAAATCCTTTCAGAAGTTTTCAAGGGGCTAAAAGCTTGCCAGTCAACGCAGTTTGCTGCAAAAAGTTTCCGGTTCAGTCAACTGTCTTTGGCTTTTGGCAAACTGGTTTGGTGAGAACTGAGTTTCTTGAGAATGACCTAGGAAGCCAGGAGATGCTTTTCGACCCGAGAGTCCTGTCCTCCCCGCTCCTCCACGAGCGTCAGGATCCCGGGATCCGAGAACCTCGCCCTCAAACGTCCCGTGGGGCTGGGCGGGCCCGGCGGGCGGCGTCCAGGGTGGACGCTAGAGTCTCTCTGACGCCCCAGCCCGAGGAGGACTTTACCCACCTGGACGTGCTGGAGGCGCTGGAGGCCGAGTTACCCGGGGCCATGGAGAGCGGGCGCGTGAGCGGCATCCGCTTTGAGAACGTGAACGTCATCTGCGGGACTGCGGGGCACCGCAACAGGTGAGCCCGCCGCGGGGCCAGGGGCGGGGCCGGGCGGGGAGGGGCGGGGCCTAGAGCGAGCACGGCGCGGGGCGGAGTCGGGGCGGGCGAATAGATGGACGCTATCGCGGCGAGGGGCGTGGCTAGAGGAAGCGGGGCCTGGACGGATCTGCGCGTGGGAGCCGTGAGGGGCGGGGCCGAGCGAGAGGCAGGTGAGGGGGCAGGACCCTGGAGGAGGCGGGGCCTGGGGTGGAGAACCAGACCCTTGCGTGACCCAGGTAGTGACCGAATAAGACCGCGGCCTGGGGCGGGGCCTCCTCAGGAGGCGGCCTGGGGGCGTGGCCTGGGCTGCACCATTGTAGGGGCGGGGCCAGAGTGACCAGGTGGGCATGGACCTGGAGTGTACAGGTGGGAGCGGGGCCAGGAGGGACCGAGGTGAGGGGGAGCCACTCCGAAGGGCCGAGGCTAGCCGGCGGCTTGGAGAGCTGGCGCTTCGACAGCCCGCGATGACCGGACAGAACCGAGAGAAGGCCGGGCTTAGCCGGGCCCAGGTGAGGCCGACGCACAGGCTGCTCTCGGCGAGGACGCGGGGCTGGAGAGCCCGGGGACGCAGGGCCGGGCAGCGGGACGCGAGGCGGTAGACGCAGCGTGGCCAGGCAGGGACGCCCCAAGGCGGGCCGGAGCGCACCCGCGACCGGCGCTCCCGTCTCGGCCCCGCCCGCCCGCCCGCAGGTGGCTCATCACGCTCACGGACTTCCAGGCTCGCGCGCGCCTGCTGCGCACCGGGCTCAGCCTCCGCGGGCTCCCGCGCCCTCTCGTGCGCCACGACGAGCTGCTGCTGGACGACTACCGCCTGCACCTGCGCCGCTCCCTGGTCCGCCGGCGCATGCTCGAGGCGCTGGGGGCGGACCCCGCCGAGGAGGACTGACGCGCGGGCGGGCCCCGGTGCGCTGCGCCCCGCCCGCCCCCCCGAGCCCGGAGGAGGGGGCGTGGCCTCCCCAGGAAGGAGGCGGGGCCGGCTCGAGGGGGTGGATACTGTGAGTTTAATTATAAAGAATGACCTGGTACAAAAGCCATTTCTCGCTGCAAAATCTTGGTGGGGAGTCAGGGGGAGGGAGGTGATGGGGGGTAGGAACGAACCCCCGTAGTATAACTCCGCCTCCCTAAACCTTCCCCCGGTCCCTGCCATGGACTCCAGGGTCCCAATCCCTTGAGGGATGAACTGAAGCGCGCGCGAAGGAAAACCCCGGGCGCGGCGATCCCCGTCTCCCCGGGAGGCAGACGTCCTCATCCACCCCCCTCCTTTTCCTCCTCCCACCCCCCTTGGAAGACAATTCTCGGGCTTTTATTTCAGGTTTTTTTTTCTGAATTTTTTTTGTGTGTGTGTGTGTGTGTGTTCTAGGGTTTTTGTATTTTGTTATTGTTCCTCTTTTTGCTTTGTCTCTCCTCTCTGCCCCGCGCTGCCCCCCATTCGTTCCCTTTCCCCTCCCACCCCAACCTCTCCTCCCCCCTCCCCACCCCCTACACCCTCCCCAACCCCGCGGCACCCATCCAGAATGAACAAGCCCTTGATAGACGGGCGCCGCGCAGGCCCCCTGCGGACGGGGGCATCCGACCAGGGGAGGGGGCGGGTAGGGGCCCAGCGCGACCACCGCCCCCTCGCTCCCCTTCCCCCTCCCACGACCCTCCCACAAGGTTCCCCGCAGATCCCTGACGTGGTGAGGGGAGAGGGCTGCAAGCACCCTCCCCCCATGTACGGAGCGCCCCCCCCTTAGGGGTAGGGGGCAGCAGAGGGGGAATGGGATTGGGGAAGGAGGGGAAGCTCCCTTCTTTGGCAGCTGAACATAGGGGGACCTGAGGGCGATGCCCTCCCCCCTTTACCCACAGTAGGGGAGGGGGCTTTCTAGGGGCAGGGGTGGCTTAAAATTCCCAAGCCCCAGGAATAAAGGGGGGGGGTCGTGCGGGAAGAAGCAGCCATGCTGGAGAAATCGGTGGCGAGACAAGAAGGGAGGGGGCTCTTCGTGCACAACGATGGACAAGGTGGCCCGGGGAGGACAGACAGCCGGAGCAGAGGGAGCGCGGCCAAGATGAGCAGGGAGAGGCAGTGTGGGAGCATGGCGAGCGAGGGGCAAGTGTGCGTAGCGCCTCACACCAGAGAGAAGCGTGCATGGGGCTGAGAGAATAGGTGTGAGCTTGGCTGCAACAGCTGTTCCTTCACAGGAGCAAAACCAAACCAAACTAAATAACCAAGGTGCCAGAAATGATAATAGGGCCCAAGAGCAGGTGGAATGAAACTTTAAAGAAGGGGAGGGGCGCAGAGTTCCCCAGGCGAGATGGGAGAAGATGCCCGAGCCAAGAACAAGTAGAAACCCAAGAACAGGTGTGTGGCAAAGCACAGGTGTGCAAGCGCCTGAAGAGAAAGAAAAAGGCTTCAGGAGAGCAGTGGAGGCGCTGGCGAGGCTGCGTGTGCAAGAGCGCGTGTGCAAGGAGATGCAAGAGTCAGGAATGGAGATGGACAAAGATTGGCAGATGGGGGTGCAGGGAGCAGGAGCCTGCAGAGAGGAAATGGAGGAGTGTTCAAGAAGCGGTTCCTGGGAAGAAGCGGTTCCTGGGAAGCAGCAGGTGTGCCAGGCGTGTGGGGAGTGAGCATCGGGGAGGGGTCGTGGGTGGGAGTGTCACAGTGAGAGGGAGAAGTGGGAGAAGCATGGGGGGGGTCGAGAATCAGCAGGAAAGTGGTGGAGACAAGCGTGTTGGGAGAGGTAGGAGGGCGAGTGTGCAAAAGGAGGAACAGCGCGGGGGTCTCCAGAGCATAAATACGTGTGCAGAGGCTGTGAGTGGGTCAGGGAAAGGGTGTCCCAAGTGTGTCTGCAGCAAGGGTCCCGAGAGTTTCCCGAGTGAGGTGTGGCAGGGGGGCGCGCGGAGACGAGACGGGAGGAGAGAGCAGGGGGCGTGGGCGTGGGCAAGCCAAGCCGAGTGTGCAAGGGAGCGAGCGTTGGACAGCCGAGAGGGTCTCGGGAGCCGAGCTGGAAGCGAAGGCGAGTGTGCAAGACAGCGAGGGCAGATCTGTGCAAAATTGTAGCCCGGGGAGGGGAGAGGTGAGCAGGCGTGCAAAGGAGCGTGCAAGAGGCCAGGGAGCGGCTGCGTGTGCAGGGGAGCAGAGGGGCCTGGAGAGGGGGGGAAGGGCGGTGAGAGCAGGTGGTGGAATCTGAGGGCACCCCCTTTTCCTGCGGCCTGGGGGGCGACCCCCATCCGGTCAGGCTCAGGGCTGACCCTCTATGGCTCTGTCTGTCCCCCCCTCCCAGAAGCGACCCTTCCCTCCTCCTCCACTCCCGGGGTGACTTCCTCCGTCCTCCCCCTCCGCTCCCCACTTCTCACACACAGTCTGGTGTCAGCTGCCCCCTCCCGCGAGGTGCGAATGTCTGGCCGGGATGGCGCCACCCGGTGACCCGCGGCCTCGGCGGACACGAGTCTGAGAGAAGGCGCGTCAGGGTCGGAGGTCAGGAGGCCGGCGGGCTGCGGGGTTCTGTGGACGGCTGGTCCGTCCAGGCCAGCCATCACCTCTCCAGGAAAAATTTGAGCGCCCGGTCGATGTTCATGCGGTGGCCCACCCGGGTCACGCCCAGGTCCACGTAGTCCTCCTTGGTGAGGGCGGGCAGGTGGGAGCCGTCGATCTCGTGGTCCAGGAACTGGGCCCGGTGCTCAGCCAGGCCCAGCCACTCCAGCCAGTCGGCCACGTCGAACTTGGTCCAGAACCCCAGAGGCTTAGCGCCAAAGGGCTTGTCTGGGGGCAGCGAAAGCAGGCGGGTCGGCGAGAGGGAGCGGGAGGCCCCCGACAAGGCTCCGCCGAGCCCCCCGGAGATCCCGGGGTGCGGCGGCACAAAGACTGGAGCGAAGGGATCCGCGGAGCCGCCGGCGCCTCCGGTGGGGGAGCCGCGGATGTCAAAAAGGCCCGGGTAGAGGGGTCCAGAAGGCAGGATGGGCAGGGACGAGGGCCGGGGTGCCGGGCTGACCTTGTGCTCCGAGGCGGGCAGCAGGGAGGGGCTGGGGGCCCGGCGGAGCAGAGGCGGCCGCATCTCGAACTCCACACCCTGGAGGTGGCGGGTGGAGGAGGAGGAGCCCGAGGGCGAGGTGGCCCCCTGGGCTGCAGCAGCTGAAGGGGGCACCCCGGTTCCTGTGGGGAGTGGCGGCAGAGGTGGTTTGGACCAGTTCTGAAACAGGCTGCTGACAGGCTTGGAGAGGAGCGAGTCGTCGCTGAGTCTGGAAGGTGACAAGCGGGCGGGGGTGCAGGAGAGGGATCGAGGGGCGCAGGCAGGGTGAGACAGAGGCAGAGGTCGAGATGCAGGGCGAGAGGAGGAGAGACGCAGGGCAGGGGCAGAGATGGGAAGAGATGGGCGGGCCGGACGGATGCAGGACAGCCATGGAGGGAGAGAGAGATGAGAGGACGGGGGAGGGCCACAGTCAGAGAGATGAGAGAAAAAGAGACATAAGTGATAATAGTCATCACCGCCACCGCTTGCTGATGCGCACGTGTGCCAGGCATGGTTCTAAGAGCTTTACGTATCGCCTCTCCATGGAGTCCCCACGACAGCCCTGCTGCAGGTTACTAGCATCGCCAGCACAGAGAGGCCGGGTAACTCGCCTAAGGACACACAGCCAGGAAGTGGCAGAGCCTGGTCATACGGCCCCAAAGTCTGAGCTCGGAACCACTACTCTGTACTGCCTTCAGGGTACGACCAGGCACAGCAGAGTGGAGGACAGGGAGACGGTGAGCGAGGAACAAAAAAAAGGGTGAGCATTCAGGGGAGAGAGATGGGAGGGGGCGGGGGCAGGGGAGGGGGAGAGAGATGAGGAGAGGGAGATGAAAGAGAGAAGAAACGAGGGGAGAAAAAGGTTCCCCTCGTCCCTTTGGCTCCCCGCAGCACAGGCCTGCCTCGGGGCCTGGGGACCTGGCCCTCCCGCTGGGCTCCCGCTGACCTCGCCCTCCACCCCTCCCCTCTACCCCCTCCCCCCCCATCCCACTATCCTTTGTTTCCAGGACAACAGGAGTATCCTCTTGCCTGCCCCACCCTCATCGGGCTCATCAGGCTCAGCTGTGCGAGGGTCCGGCCTTGCCTGTCCTGTGCCCCACGGGACCCCCATCCGGGACACAGTAGGTGACAGGTGACTCGCTGGAGCACCCTCTCCTCCGCCCAGAGTACTTGAGGGGGTGGACCTGCCTTGAGGGTCTCAACCCTAGGAAAGCCACACCCAGGCGCCAACCCTGAGGGCCTCAGACCCTCCCACAGGGCAGCCGCGCCAGGACTCCCCCACAGGCTGCACCCCCCCCAGCCCGGGTGTGCGGGAGGCTGCCCTGCCCAGGCCTGGGTGACCGTGTCCTGTGCCAACAGCCGAATCGCCCGGCCGCCTTCCTCAGAATGTGCCCTGGCCGCTAAGCGACATGTGACCTGAGCCAACTCTGCGCTGGACAAAGGGGTTCAAAGTCCTCTCCCCACTCTGTGAGCCAGCGTCAGGGGTGTGATGACTTTCCCTGAGACTCGAAAGTCCCAGATAAGCTCAAACTTTGTGGCCACCCCTGCCCGCCCGCCCCCACACCCCCCCCGACCCTGGTAGCTTGGGGAAACTTCTGCATCTCCCCGTATTTCCCCACCCACGCTCAATGGGCTGGGGGGGGGCCCCCTTCCACCCCCACCTCACTTGACAGCAGCCTCAAAACCCATCTTAGGTGGGCACTACCTCCCACAAGAGGCCGCCCAGTTAGGAGGTGCAGGGCTAGGACCAGAACCACCCTCATCACCTCTGCACCCCTAAGGCAGCTTGTCTTGAGCCACCCGGGGTTCAGGGGCTCACAGACGTCAGGACTGTCACAACTGACAGCCCACCAAGGAACCAGACACCCGCGAGCTTGCGCTCCAGTCTCCTTTGTTAATCACTCTGTGTGCATCCTGGGGTGTGGGTTGCCATGGGGACGGGAGACCACAGCGGCTACCGAGATAAAGGGGGAAGTTTAAAGCACCCGAGAAAGCATGCTTCTTTGGGGTGAACTTCTGCGGTCTCAGCGCCACCCCCAGGACCCTACAGGGACGGAGCTGGGGGACGGGGACGCTGGTCCCCACAAACAGTCCGGGCCCTCCTCGCCTCCACCGCCAACCGCCAGCCCCTGCTCACCTCTGCCGCTGGAGGGAGGAGGTCCTCTCGGGGACGTAGCTGGCTCCCCCGTGGTGGCTGTCCCCGCTGCCCCCGCTGCCTCCCCGGGCCCAGGGCAAAGCGCCCCCAGCTGCCGAGGAGCCCCCAAACTGCTGAAGCTTGGAGCTGAGTTCGCTGATGATGCTGGCTTTGACGGTGGCCAAGGCTGAGGCCTGGGGCTGGGCCAGGGGCCCGGGCAGGGGTGGTGGCGGCGGGCCCGGGCCCTCCTCCCAGGGCAGCAGCTTCCGAGGCAGGGAGGAGGCCGCCGGCAAGGGCACCGGTGGGCCTTCTGGTTCCACGTTCCCCGGCCCCCCGGCCACACCCGCCGGCGAGGGTCCAGCGCAGCCGCTCAGGGCCAGCAGCCCGTCCGCCCCGGCGCCGGTCACCGAGACCGTGGGGCTGGTGGGGGTGACGGGCTCTCGCAGGCCCCCGCCCGGGCTGGGCCGCAGCCCTCCGGCGGCCCCCAGGGCGCGGCCCCGGAGCTTAGAGGGAGTCATGAGCTGCGGGGGGTAGGGCGGGCCCGGGGGCCGCTCCCCCCGAAGGCCTGGCCGTCCAGGTAAGCCACGTACGTGTCCAGCAGCTCCGGCCCAGCGGCCACCCCGGCGCCCCCGGCGCCGCCGCCCGCGCCCGCCCCGCCGCCCTCCGCGGACAGGCTGCTGAGCGTGGACGCGCTGCTGATGGTCTCCAGCGGGTGGTCGCTGCTGCTGCGGCTGTCCACCTCCTCGATGCCCGAGTCCGTGCCGGGCGGCGGGTCCGGGCCGGGCTGCGGCGCGGGGGGCGGCGGGGCGGCGGGGCCGCGGGCCCCGGAGGAGGGGGTCCCCGGGAGCCCCGGGGGCCCCCTGGGTCAGCGTGGCCACCTCGCTGTCGTAGGACGTCAGGCTGGACGCGGTGGAGTCCAGGGCGGGCGGGGCGGCGGCGACGGCGGGGGGCGGCCCGGGCGGCAGCGGGGCGGTGGGGGTCGGGGGGTCCGGCAGCGGGAGGGGCGGCCCCGGCGTGAGGGGCGACTCGGGCTTCTCGAAGCTGTTGGAGAACTCCAGGGGCGGGGGCAGCGGCTCCACGAAGAGGAACTCGCCGTCCTCCACGTCCACCGAGGGCGCGGGCGGCGGCAGGACCAGCAGCGGGAGCCCGTTCTCCTCGCCGCCCCGCGGGACGTGGGCGAGGGCGGCAGCGCGCGGCGGGGGCTGGGCGGCGGGACCCCCGGCCCGTCCTCCGCCGGCGGCCCCCTGCCCGCCGCGCCGCCCGCCCGGGGCTGGCAGTTCTCGAGGAACCGCACGTGCAGGGGCAGCCGCTCGGGCTCCTCCGCGGCGCCGGCGCGCCAGGCCTTGCTCGCGGCGGGGTGCGGGGCGGGGGGCTCGGGCCCCAGCTGCAGCAGGAGCGGCCCCACCCCGGGGGCGGCGGGCGGCAGGCGGTGCAGCAGCGAGCGGCGCGCGGCGGGCGGGCTGGCCGACAGCGCCTTCTCCTGGCCGCCCAGCCCGGGCCGGTACCCCAGCTCGCGGCGCGCGGGGTCGGGCGGCGCGGCCCCCCAGAGGCGCAGCACCGGCTCGTGGTGCGCGTGGGGCGCGTGGTGGTGGGGCGCGGGCGGCGGCACCTCGTAGCGCGGCGACGGCGGCCGGGGCGGGGGCGGGGGCGCGCCGCCGCCCTCCGAGGACTCCTTCAGCGCGCGCTCCCGCGCGGCCAGCGCCAGCCCGAGCGGCGAGGCGGGGTCGAGGGCCTTGCCGGTCAGCGGGTGCACCAGGGGCCGCGGCGGCAGGAAGCTGGTGAAGGCGCTGCTGCCCCCGCCGCCCCCGTAGGCGCGCGCGGCCCCGTAGGCCCCGTAGGCGGCGCCGCCCGCGGACTCCAGGCGCAGGTAGGGCTCGGCCGAGAACATGCCCTCGTCGATGGACTTGGAGTGGCGCAGCCGCGGGCCCGGGGGCGCGCCCGCGCCCAGCCCGCCCTCGCCGTCCTCGTCGCCGGCGTCGGTGGAGAGGAAGAGCGTGGAGCGCCGGCGGGCCTCGTTCTGCCAGCCGCCCTCCCTGCGCGCCGCGCCCACCAGGGCGGCCCCGAACTGGCTGGTGAAGTCGAGGGTGGCGGGGCCGCTGGGCGAGGCCGGGGCGGGCACGGGCGAGGGCGCGGGCGACGCGGGCGACGCGGCCGGGGCGGGGCTGGGCGCGGAGGAGCCGCCGCCGCCCGCGGGCTCGGGCTGGGCGGGGGGCTCCGCCTCGGTGCTGCTGCCCTGGCTGCTGCGGCCGCTGCTACTGGTGGACGGGGCCTTGATGATGATGGTGGGGATGGGGATGGAGTTCTTCTCCGACGGGGCGGGCGGCGGCTGCGGGGACGCGGGGGACGTGGGCGAGGCGGCGGGCGGGAGGCCGCCGGCCTTCTGGGGCTCGCCCTCCACCTTGGTCTGCTTGACCAGCGGGCCCTTGCGCCCGCGCCCCGAGCGGGCCGGCACGTACATGGCCGCGCTGGCCGCCCGAGGGGGCAGCTGGAAGTAGCGCAGGGCGGGCGCCTGGGCCGAGCCGCCGCCCCCGGCCCCGCTGGCGTGGTGCGACGGGGACGCGGCCCCCGGGGTCGGGCTGGGCCCGCCGCCTCGCCAGCCGCGCAGGCTGGGCTGGGGCCCCAGCGCCAGGCGGGGCGGGGGTCGTCGGGGGAGCCGCCGGTCTCCATCTCCGGGGGGTGAGGGGGGGGGCGTGGTGGTGGTGGGGCTGGGGGGGCGGCACGTGGTGGTGGTGGTGATGGGGCGGGTGGTGGTGGGGCGGGGGCAGGGGGCCGCTGTGGTACAGGCTCTTCTCGCGGCTCCCCAGGCGCGTCTCGGGAAGGGAGGGCCCGTCGAAGGATGAGGGGGAAGAGGCGGGGTGGGTGCTACTGGAGCCGGGGTTGAAGGGGCTCCCCCGGTGGGAGGGGGTGAGGCGGCCGGAGGAGGAGGGGGCGGGGGGTGTGCTGTAGGGGGGCTCGGGTGGGGACGTGGTGGGCGGCGGGGGGATGTCCTCCGAACCAGGCACAGACAGGCTGCGGCTGAACTTCATGGCGGGGGGTGCTAGGTAGGGTCTGTCATCTTCCGCAGCCCCTGTGGAGGCACAGAGGGTCCAGGAGAGGGGGCGGGGTGGGGTTTCGCCCGGCTCCCCAGTCCCGTAAAACGCACCATTCTTGCATTAATAATGGTGGGGGGGCTGGGTGTTCTGCCCTCCTATCCCGCAGAAACCCAGTATTTAATGCAACAGTGAGGACAGTGAGGAAGACGGCAACGCGACGGCGACGGCACCCGGCATGCACTGAGAACCGCTCGCGGATTAGCCGGGCCGGGGGAATCCAAATCCGCCCCGCGCAGTGATTCGGGTTGTGCACTGCGCGACAGCCCGCAGCAGAGGGAGCCGTCGGGCGGGCTGCACTTCCCCCCCGGGCCAGCAGGGGGCGCCTTCTCCTAATTCGCACAAAAGCACGGTCTATGGAAGCGGCTTGCCGTGAGCGAAAGCGGCTCGGGCAGGGAAGCGATGCCGTGTTTAGGAGCTTATGGGTTTCTTTTCAGGGATACGCAGAAAAGAACTGTGAGGAGCCCCTCAGTCCTGTGATTCACAGACCACTGCTCAGGGTGCGGCTAACATTAAAAAGCGGGAGCCGGCAGATAAGAAAATGAGACAGGAGGGTGGACACGAGACTCACACTGGTGGGCGCTAGAACTGGGGAGCAGCTAGGTTTGACTTTCAAAATGACTCAGAGGACGGCGGGAGTGAAATCTGCCTACAAGACTGTGGGGGCTCAGTCTTGACCCTTTCTTGCCTCTGACTACTGTCCCTTGGCGATCGCAGCCTGCACCCCGGCCTCAGTTCACTACCTCTGCTCTGGAAGCCCATGTCTGCCTGGGGCCCAAACCTCTCCCAGAGCCCCAGGTGCCTGCATACAAATATGGAGACGCTCACAGGCCCCACAAACTCAGCTCCCGATCTACCACCCCCCAGGCTTCCCATCTCAGCCAAAGGCATCTCCGCCCTGCCTCAGGACCTTTGCACGTCTATGCCACGACACGGAATGCTTTACCTCCAGACATCCCCCTGGCTCCCGCTCATCCCCAAGTTTTAACTCAAACCTGCTCCTGGGCACTGCAGAGCTCTGCAGCCGTAACTTGCGTTTTTCTTTTCCCCAGAGCACTTACTGCTGTCAATACGCTATATAATTTTCTGCTTTCTTATCCTTATAAAGTATTCCTTGCTGGAAGATCAGCCCACGAGCGCTGGTGTTCTGTTTACTGATAAATACCCAGCACACGGGAGGTGCTCAAATGACATTTTTAGATGAATGAATGAAGTGAGTCAGACAAGAGAGAAGGTTCTATGTGCGGCCTTCACCTCACTGCATCCAGGCAGGGGCAGTAATTAATGTCCCCGTTGCCTAGAGGCAGAGCCCAAGGCCCAGAGAGGTGCAGCAATGTGCCCCAGGTCACACAGCAGGACGAGCAGAGCTAGGGTTCATCCCAGCTTTGCTTAGCAACCAGGCCTGAGCTCTCTGCCCCGCTGTCCCCCGCCTCCTCCCCACATCGGCACCCCTCACAGCCACCCGCCTTGGCCCGTGACATACCGATGGATTTTTGGCGGAGCATGAGCCCGGGGCCCGGAGGCAGGTACGAAGGACGTTCATAACTCGGCTGGGAGCGGTGGTGGGGATCGAAGCTTGACTTTGGGGTGGCAGTCAGGGAAGGAGAGGAAAAAGAGCAGAGAAAGATCAGGCCCAAGTCTGGGAAAAGTCCTGGGTTCTTTGTACAGCCCCCCAACCCCCACTCCTTCCTGGCCCAGGAGCAAGGGAGGGTGAGAGGAAGCAGAGGGGTTCCGGGGAAGGGAAGGGTTTCTGTGTCTGCCAGTGGGGAGGAAGGAAAGGAAAAGGCACACAGACGAACCATGGAGCTGGTGGCTCTCCCTTGGCAACACCCATCTGGGCACCTTTTCCATCCCCACTGTCACTGTCCAAGTCCCAGCTACCTCCTTGCTTGCCCAGAACGGCTTCGAGGCTTCCTTCCATCTCCCTGTGGCCACCGGGTCCCACCACCCCTTTCTACGCAGGTCACAGGGGTCTTTCCAAGAGAAATTCAGGGCAGGCTACTGCCTGTTTGAAATCCTGCCTCCCACCTCTGTTGGACCAGGCTCTCTGTGGCAGAACCTGCCGAGCCCACCTAGATGCCCTGGCCTGGGAGGCTCTGCCTGGGCCAGGCTGGGGCTCTCGGCTGCCCCTGAAGCATCACACCCCCTCCCCTCCGAGCTGACCCGCCCAGCAGTTACGCATCCCCACTGCTGGGAACACTGGCTGACCCGGGGGAACAAGGCAGGGTTCACTCAGCTGTGTGGCTCATATTCCCGGGCACCCCCACAGGGATCTGGTCCCAAGTGACACTGGATAGGACCAGGGACCTTCTTGACATCCCCTCCTGCCACTCTCGCTCTTGCACCGGGTCCCTCTTGGGAAGTCACTGTTGCCAGAAGCCTCATCTCGGCCCCAATCCCAGGCAGTGAAGCCTCAGACACTGGGAGCACTTGGTGCCCACCTTCCCTGCTTCTCCAGCCCCCCATGTTTATTCAGCCCGGCCTCGCGGCACCTGCCCGCCCTAGGGCCGCACCCTGCACGGCTTGTCCCCTAGCTGTCACGGGTGCTTTCCAACTTGGGGCCCCTCACTCCACTGACCCTCCCAGTGTCCTGCATGTCCCCGCCCTCTTTCTTCACGCCTGAAACCACCCTACTGACCTGCTCCTCATCTGTCCCCGCCTAGGACGTGCTGCCTCCTAATATCCTGGGCTCAGAGTACTTTTCATGTCTCTTTGGGTCTAAGGAAATGGTTTCATTTCTAAGTGGTGATTAAATAGGGTTAAAAGAATCGTTTTCATGTTATTTGTATTGTCCCATCTCGCATTCAGTTAGCCACCTAACGACGTGCTTAATCTAAATGGGATCCGTTCGGCAGGCTTCGCTCTCGGTGATTTTCCTGGCGCTTCAGAGTCTGCAAGGACTGGCCGACTCCCTGTGCATCTGGCCTGGTGTGATGTTATTTGAAAGCAAACTTGTTCATCACGGGAAAAAATATATGTGCAGGAGAGGAAAGGAAGGAGGAGAAGGAGATGGTGGTGTCCTTTACCCCAACGCAGATTTTTAAAAACTTTTCTTTTAGGACCCTCCCTGGTGGCCTAGGAGTTAAGTCTCAGCGCTATCACCTCTATGGCCTGAGTTCGATCCCTAGCCAGGGAGCTGTCCCGCATGGCGCAGCAGACCTCTCCTGTCTCCCCGCGGCTCCCCTCAGCAGTGTACTTCAGTCAGTCTGCCTGTTCTGCTCCCCGCTCTGTCTCTGGTGAATCCTCTCACTCTCTCCGCCGCCCCCACAAACCTCATACCTCTGGCCTACCCTCTAGTTGCTCTACACAAAAAATAAAAAACATAATTACAGGTATATTAAAAAAAAACTTCCTGTAGTGCTCAGGGGGGCAATTTTGTGGATCCCATTCACCAGTGGGCTCCCCAGCCCCCAAACTCCACCAACATGAGTGACTGAATGAGAGCCAACCAACCTCAGAACTGCTGGACCCTGACCCCTATATTCCACCAGGTGACCCCCTATGCCTCCTTTCCAGAGACACAGAGAAAGGGAGTTCCAGAGAACAGGGGTTCCACCTTAGGGATGTGGCTATTAAGGCCCTGCCTTTACCACCCAGTCAGCCCTTGTTCTGACTCTCCCACTTCCCCTACTGGTTTCTCACCTCTGAGCCTTAGCCTAGGCTGTTCCTGCAGCTTGGACGTCCTTACCTTCCCAAGCAGAGAAGAAAACTCCGTTACCCTGGTCCTTCACCCCAGACCCCCAGCTGGCCTCTACCTTCCTCAAGGCAACATCGCCACCCACAATAGCCCTGGTGCCTCTGATGTATGTTTCAGTCGCATATTTCTTTTTTTTTTCCTTTTTTTTTCCCTTAGTTTGGCCAGTTGCATATTTCAACCATGACAACCAGTTAAAAGAAAAGCATTGTTTCCTCAATAGACACTAGATGTTTGCGGGTGACCTTAGTGTCATCTACACGGATGTGGAAATATGAAGCTGTGTAACCGAAACTGAAAAAAAAAAAATACAAAAGAAATAAGGAGTAAAACAAACAAACAAATGAAAACTCACTCTTAGATGATGAAAACAAAATGGTGGCCGCCAAAGGTAAAGAGTTGGGGGATAGGCAAGTCAGGTAAAGGCGGGTGGACTGTTTGGGGGTAGATGGAAATTGGAATTTTAGTCTACAGATACAGAAGCTACAAATGTGCACAACTGAAACTTAACATCATCTTCTAAACCAATGTGACTTCAATGCATTAGAACAAAAATTGCATTGCTCCAGCACACTGGCCACATTTCCAGCATCTAATTGTTGCACACCCAGCACAGATGGAGAACATTCCATCACAGGAAGCTCCATCAGACTGCCTGCTCTAGCCCTCATGGACACGCCTGGCCTCCCCTACTCTGCACTCACCTCCCTGCATTGGGACAGGTTAATTCATTCGTTCCACAAATATTTACTGAGCAAATGCTCCGTGCCAGGGGTTGTTCTAAACACCACAGATGCAGCCATAAACAAGCAGACAAAATTCACTGCTCATATAAGAGGTAGGCAGACCACAAACAAACCAAACTGGAAATGAACAAGTGAAATAAACTGTGGCTCAGATGGAGGTGAGGATGGGAGCGAGAGAGTGTGATTTGGCACAGTGCAGTCAAGGGAGGCCTTCTTGAAAGGGTATAATATGAATAAACTCCTGGGCCTCCCGGGTGGCGTAGGGGTCGAGTCTCAGGGCTATTACCACTATGGCTGGAGTTTGATCCCCGGCCAGGGAGCTGACCCACATGGCACAGCAGACCTCTCCTGTCTCCCTGCTGCTCCCCTCAGCAGTGTATCTCAGTTTATTTTCAGTAGATCCGCCTGTTTTGCTTCCCACTCTGAGTCTCTGGTGAATCTCTCACAAATCCCTCCGCCCCACACCTCTGGCCTGCACCCCAGTTTTTCTACCTCCAAAAAAAGACAGAAAATCCTTTTTTAAAAAAATGAGTAAACTCCTTAAGGAGTTAAAGGAGGGAGCCATGCCTTCATCCAGGGAGAAGCATGCTGGTTAGAGGGCGCAGCAAGTGCAAAGGCTCTAAGGTGGAAGGGAGTCTGGCAAGCTCAAGGGGCAGTCCAGAGGCCTGTGTGTCTGTGGGTTGGCAGGTCTGAGGGATGGGGGATGGATCAGGAAGGAGGGAGAGGGGTGATTATGGGTAGAATCTGGTAGTTTGGGATATCTTCTCCCTGGAGAGGCCTCCTTCTGTCATACTGCCTCATAACCCCTTCCACGTGTCCCAGTTGAGAGTTACTATAATTACTTGCTGTTGTCTGCCTCCCTGGGCACCTAGTCTACCCCGTACACATTCTACTCTCCTTCTTTGGTAGAAAACCTCAATCTTATTTGGCATCTATAGAGACTACATTTCCCAGCCTCCCTTGCAGCCAGATGGGCCATGGGGCTAAGGCTGACCAACAAGCATATATGAAAGTGTTGTGTGTTACTTCTGGGAAATCTCATCAGAGGTAACCCAAGATGTAGCAATGCCCTCTTTGCCCTTCTGCCTTTCCCTTTTTCCTTGTTCCTGCTACCTGGGATGCTGGTGCAATTGCTTGAGCTTCAGCAGTCATCTTGGACTATGAGGTGACTTTGTGTTTGGAAACAAGGCTAGATGGGTGGAGCAAAAAGCAGAAGGATACTAGGTCCTTATGACCACGGAGGCTGCCACACCTGCCAGAACTCCCTACTCCAGACTTAATTTAACATGAACTTAAAGAGGCATTTAAGGGCACTCAAGCCTCTGTTATTTGGAGGTTTATCTAACATCCAACAGAACCCAATTCTGGAACCTGCCCTTCCTGTGGCCCAAATTGGGAGTTCTCTAAGGAAAATGATCTTGATTGACTGGCTCACTCTTCACACCGAGGGCTGAGAAGCCAGCCCAGCACATTTGTGTAGAATGGAGGGACTGGGGGTGATACAAGACAACCTCACAAGATGGGGGGGCCTGAAGGCAAAACCCCAGCCCTGTTCCTCTGAACACCCACTGAAATAGCACCAGGATGGTTCCAGCAGGCGTCAGGGTCTCCCGAGAGTACCCCGACTTCACCCACTCTCCTCATTTTGCTCCTCTCCACATCTGATTCGCAGCCTGCCCGACTTTTTGTGACTTGGCTGAATGTTTTTCTCAGACCTTCTCCTTAAGCCTCATCCAAATACCCTGTTGCATCAGGTCCTGTGTCTACTGATGAAATCTGTAGCACCAGGGAGCCAAACCCCCAAAATGAGAGAGAGAGCTTGGGTGGTTGCAAAGAGACAGATACAGAAAGAAAAGGGAGACATTTTCAAGTCACTTGCAAGTCACTTGACCAGCTGCTTTCCAGTGTCCTCACTGAATCCTCCAACAGATGCAGGTATTTGGGATGGGGACGCCCGCTGGGCGATAATGAAAGAGGCTGCGGGTCAGAGAAGAGGCTCCTCCTGGCCAGCCACTGAGTAAGGAGGTTTCAAAGCTATTGGAGGAAGGAGATCAAAAGGCTAGAGTATTCCAAGCTCAAATAGGAGGGGTGAAGAGGGGGGCAGACGGCGAAGAGAAGGGGCTGTGTCCCGTGGGAAGGACCCACGGACCACCGAGGAGGGATGGCTGGAAGGCACAGAGAGCAAGGGTGCATTCTGGGGATGGCAGGGAGGCGGCAACTGGGAGGCAGGCGAGGGAGGCGGGGTGGGCGTGGCCAGAGGGTCAGGGGCGGGGGCAGGGCGAGGGGCGGGGCCAGAGGGACAGGCGAGGGGCGGGGCCAGAGCGAGGCCAGGGGCGGGGCCAGTGAGAGGAGCGGGGCCAGAGGGACAGGGGAGGGGCAAGGCGAGGGCGGGGCCAGAGGGACAGGGCGAGGGGCGGGGCCAGAGGGACAGGGGCGGGGTCAGGGCGAGGGCGGGGCCAGAGGGACAAGGGCGGGGCAGGGCGAGGGCGGGGCCAGAGGGACGGGGAGGGGGCAGGGTGGTGGCGCAGGCGTCACGGCGACAGGTAGGGTGGCCCTGACAGAAGCGGAGAGACATCGGATTCTAAAATCGACACCTGGAAGTGGAAAAGGAAGGATTTAAGCTGGGTCAGCTTGACATAAGAGGGGTCAGAGTGGCGGAGATGTCAGACTGGGAGAGGAGCCCCCAGAGCGTAGGAGGCGGCAGCGGCGACCGGCTCAAGGTGGGACGAGCTGCCCTCCAGCAACAACCAGGCAGCAGCCGCGCCCACGCAGGGGTATAGCCAATCAGAGCGCGCCGTCTTCGTGGCGTCACCCGCTGCCGGGCAGACTCCTCCTAGTGAGTAAGCCAGAGTCTGGCTCCACTTCTGCACCTTCCCTGGCGCGTGGCCGTGGCTTGGGCGCCCTGGTGGCCAGGTGTGTGCCCTGGTGGTGTGCATGGGCGGGGCCTCAAGGGGCTGGGGAACCCGCGCCAAGGGGGTACAGATGGGGGAACAGAGAAAATGGGGACTACGAGAGAGATGGGGAGAGACAAAAGAGGGGGCTACCAGGTGAAGAGTCATAACTGGAGAGACAGGAAGGGGAAATGAGGCAGCAATGGGGAGAAAAAGGGACCAGAAGAGGCAGGGAGAGAAAGGGGGCCCTGAAATGGAGAGGGCCAGGGACTGCAGCCACCGCAGGTGGTGAAGAGAATCAGAGGGAGAAACTGAGTCCAGAGACAGCACCCACAGAGAACTCAGAGACTGAGGGTGGGGTGACTAGGGACCCTCCAGGGTAGGTGACCAGGTCACAGACGGTAGCTGAGCAAGCCAAGGCACAATGAATGGAGGACGGATGGACTGCTAGCGGAGTCCAGTGGGTCTGCCTGGGGTCTGCGTCCCCCATCTTGGGGTGGGTGCAACTCCCCAGCCATGAATGGCGGGAGAAAAGTGGGAGTTCCAGCAGAGAAAGATGACCACGGGCCTCCAGGAGCTGCAGGGGCCAGACCCTCTGAAAACCTAGGAGAGCACCTCTGGGCTTCACTTCTAGGGAGCTGGGTGGGTGGGCAGCTGTTTTTTTCACTGATCTATGTCTGGGCCCATCTAGGGGTGTCTTTGGAGTTTAGGGGGTGAATTCTCTGAGAGCCAGGTCGTCTCTGTCTGGTAGTCCCAGTTCACAGAGGTAGAGGCCAGCACTGGCTGCCCGGCACCTGGTGGGTGTTCCCTGGATTTGTTCAATAAATGAAAACAGGACTCGCCTGAATCTGTTACTGGAAACTGCAGTGAGCCTGATACACTGCTGCGGGGTCCCTGGGGCGCATGCGGAGTTCACTGGTGCGTCACAGCGGGTCTGCAGTTTGTTATTTTATGTGGGGGGGGGGATGGGGGGAGCCATCTGTTGAGAGCCTGCTGGGCTAGAGATTGATGTCATCTAATCCTCCTAAGAACTGGGCTCGTCTGGCTTTAGCCCCATTTTACAGAACAGCAAACCCAGATGCAGAGAAGTTAAGTAACACGGTCCAAAGTGACATGTGAAGTGAGAGGAAGTCAGGATTTCTATCCGCATCCTGTGCTATTACAGAGCTTCCGAGCATGAGAAGCAAAGAGCTGTGGAGGGGAAGGTTACAGGAGGGGGTTGGAATTCAGAGGGTGGAGGGGGAGAGACACAGACTGGAAAGAGGAATAATGAAATGGATTATTGCGGGTACACCCCAGGCCTCCCATAAAGAATGAATGAATGAATGAATGAATGACTCTCACGGTGTTCTAAGTCCAGCTAAGGCAAACCCAGGGCTAAAGATTTTCGCCTTGGAATGCTGTGACTTAGTGGTTCTCAATTGGAAATGACTTTGCCACAACTTTGGTTGTGAGGCTCAGAGGAAGCGTCTCTGGCAGAGGCCACAGAGGCATCTGCCCATTTTACAACACACAGGACATCCCACAACAGGATGATCCAGCCCTCAAGACAGCCCATGCTCCCTATTGGTCGTACTTCCTGTAAAGTCACCGTGCAGTGCATTCATCAGCAGATCAATGCATAACTTTGATGTGTTTGTTTAAAGACCTTATTTAGGGCCTCTCTGGAGGCACAGGGGTTAAGTCTCAACACTATGAAGCTATCGGCAGCCACTGCAGCATGAGTTCTATACCCCCATGGCGCAGCAGACCTCTCCTGTCTCCCCGCTGCTCCCCTCAGCAGTGTGTTTCAGAGGATCCTCCTATTCAGCTCCCCACTCTGTCTCTGGTGAATCCTCTCACTCCCCCACACCTCTGGCCTGTGCCCCAGCTCTTGTACGTATAAATAAATAAAATAAAATCTTTTTTTTAAAAAAGATCTTAATACCATTAATTTATTCACATTGAACTCAGGGTTCAATTGACACACTGAACTGTATCTACAGAGGAAGCCGGACTAACACGTGTTTTCTCCGTGAACCTTCTGGCGCCAGCCAGCACTGCAGCAGCAGCTCGGGCCACTCCAAACCACAAGCCCCCAGCCCACGGCAGGAACAGTGCAGAACACAGCACTAAATAGGCCTTGAAAAGGAGAACTGACGCGAGAAGGCACACCCGGCTAGGCCCCCCCTCAGCTGGGAAAGCGCCCTTTGACCCATGCAAATTTTCACTCTGAGGACGGCAGAGCAGAGAAAAATCAGGGAATACTGATTTGAGGATTACAAATAATTTTAGCGAGTCACTTCACAAATAAGGAATCGCAAAAAGCCACAACTGATGGTCTCAGCGGTGCAGATGTTAGAAACTCCGGTGCAGGGAAAGAAGACTGGGCTCCCCTGCTCCCGGAGACCTCAAGCCACCCAAATCTCTAAGACCCCATTTCATTCTGTAACAATGGGGTGCTCTCCCCTCCTTCCGGAGGGGAAGTTTGCTGAAGAATTGTGAAGAGGTACCAGAAGAGGAGGGAGGATGAGAGCAGATCAAGAAAGAAAACACACAAAAAAGTAGAAGCCCAGAGGACGTCGGTTTGCGCGCCACACAAGGAAGAACTTTCTAGAAGTTAATCCAAATGCAGAATAAACAAGAGGTGATGAGCGCCACGGGAAATGAGCGCCTCCAGATGTTAGCATCACCAGAAGTGAGCGCCGCCAGAAATGAGCAGGCGTCAGGACTTGACGCCATGGCGCTACCATGGCGCTACCATTGTGTTTCCAATTCTCACGCGGACCTTGGGCCGTGGAGACATCCCCAGGGATCTCAACTTCCCTGAGAAACCAGGAGCCAGTGTGGAGTGAGGGGGTGCGCCACCAAGTCCTGGGAAGAGACCCCTCTACATCTGAAAGAAATTCTAGGAATGGGGCCCGCAGTGCCTGTTTGAGTCTATACTAGCTCCTCTAGGCTGGGTGTGCTAATCCTTAGGGATCCACACACTTGGACAGGGAGGGAGTGGAGGAACACAGGCAGAGAGGGGCCTGCAGACCCAGGGCACCAGACCCTGACCGCCTGGCCTGAAGTTCTGACTCCCTCTCTGAGCCTCAGTTTCCCCCGTCCATGGGCTAACAACCTTCCGCGCCTCCCAAGGGGAGTCTAAGGAATGCATCGGACCATGGCTAGTGCGCCGGACACGACCGACACCCACGGCAGGTTAGCCTGTTCAAGGGAAAGGCCGGAAGAGCAGAGACGCAGATAATTATGCTTCATGTCCACGCCATGTCAAGCACCTGATCGGTGCTGGGCCTGGGCAGGGATCTCCACCTGTATCACTTTACCTTCCCTGCGACCCTCCAGGAGGGGCAGGGATGGACGAGACAGCCACCATGAGAAGCAGGAATGCAGAGCAGTGAAGACTCGAGAGACATGGAAAATGGGGGCGAGAAAACGAGGGAGAAGATGGGCAAAGAGGAAAGACGCCCCAGGTGGGCCGAGAGGAGTGGCGTGGACCCCTGGAAGTGTGGTGCCCCCCCAGCACCAGCATTTATCACCGAGGTCAGAAGGGAACAAAAGGAAAGGAATAGAGGCCTGCGTACCTCCCACGCTTCCTCCCCCACCTCCTGGGCCCAGGTCCCCAGACCAGACCGCCTACCTCAGTGGCAAAGAAGCCTTTGGGTCGGTGTTTGCCCAGGGAGGCGAGGCCACCGGGCGCGGGACTCTCACTGGCACTGATGGTCTGCTGAGCTGCGGCCAAAATCTCGTCCAGTTTGTCTGGGGAGGAGAGGGCGGAGGAGGCAGCGGGTTCAGAGCCAGGGCTGCCCCAGCAGAAAAGGGGTGTCTGCCTCCACCCCTGAGGACAACAGCCCTGCTTAGAGACAACCACCCAGACGGCCAGAAGGGACCCAGAGATGGCAAGGGGGAGGCTGACACAGGGCAGCCCTCCTGGGATGGGGGAAGCAGCGCGGGGAGACTGAGTCACACACGGGTGCTCGGATTCGATGGCCGGGACAAGGTTGGGGTGTGAAGGGGGTCGGCACAGGCCGAAGGGGGAGAGTGGATGCGGCACCCCAGGGGGACATAGGGCCAGGGCCCACCCCCCAGGCCTGCGCAGCAGCTTACTGAGAGCCATCTGGTACACGGTCCGCTTTTTCTCCATGCTGGGCACCGGCGGCGGCTGCTGCTCATACTCTGTGGGCAAAGGACAGCGATGACGTTCAGCCGCGCCTGGGGGGCGTGGCGGAGCGGGTGGCCCGTGGGCGTGGCCAGCGGGTGGGTGCAAGCGCGAGTGGGGCAGTGAGGGGCAGTGAGGGGCCGGGTCGCGGAGGGACTGGCCCGCCGGCGGGATCGGGACCGGGACGGGGGCCCTCCCGCCAGTCCTGTGCCCACTCACCACTCTTCTTCTTCCAGGGGGAGACTAGCCCGGGGGAGAGGCAGTAGAGGAGCCAAGAGTTAGGACTTCAGGGGAAGGCGAGGGCCCCCTCTCTGGAACGCCTGCCTCCCTTGGGGCCCAGGGTAGGGGAGAGGGTGGGAGCGATCAGCTGCCCGACCCAGCCCTGTCACGGGACACCGGACCCCCAGGTCCAGTGGGTCAGGTCTGGAGGGAGGGCCTCGCCTTCCTTCTGTCAGTGGGGGTGGGCTGGGGTGGGGTGGGACAGCTGCAAAAGGGGGCCAGAAGAAAGCAAACCAGGCCCGCAGAGAGGGACAGAGACACCCAGAGAGAGACCCCGACAGAGAAACAGACACGAGGACAGGAAAGCGACTCTCAGACGCCCTTCCCCAGCGACACACACGCAGGCCAGAGCGTCTGACGCAAGGACTGGGGACAGGATGCGGACGAGGACCCTGGGTCACTAACGACACTAACAAACTCAAGGGACAGTCCAGCCCTCTGCCCCTCTCCCTCCAGCCCCTTGGCCCGACAGCCCCCTAGGCTCACCCATCTCCTCCAACTCTGAGGTCATGGACTTGGAACGCAGGGAGATGGCTGGGGGCGGGAGTCGCTTTGCCTGCTGGGGTGCTGAAAGGGTGAGGGTGGGGGTCAGGCACCGGCTCCATGGGGGTGAAGCCCCGACAGGGCCCCCAGAGCTCCAGAACCGCTGTTGACAGCACGCGGAGCCCTCCCTGCCTCAGTTTCTCCCCAGAAGGGCCATGAACAGGCAGCCTTGGGGACGGGAGGCTGGTGGTGGTGGGGACCGGCCATCAGGGCTCCTGCGGGCCTGAGACTGGCGGTGGCGGCGGTGAGTGGGGTATCCAGGCCTGGACGCACGGAGGGGAGGCGCACCTTTCTTGTGGACGGCCTCATCCATGTCCGGGTGCCTGGTGACCATGACCACCTTGACCATGAGCGTGTTGCCGCCTTGGCGGATCATGTTCACCACCTGGCGGTGGCCCACCTTCACCACGTTCTGCCCGTTCACCTGTGGCACAGAGCGCCCCGACAAGTGAGGGCTGCGGCTTCCAGCCCCACCGTCTCCGACAAGTGATCTCACCCAACCTGGGACAAGCGGGCCTCTGCCCCTCCCCCGCTCCCCAACACCCCCACCCTCCTTCAAGACCCCGCTACTCTGTTCCTGTGATTCTCCTGGCCCCGGGGCTGGGACCCCACAATTCACCCCTCTCCTTCCTTGTCCCCTAGGTGTGTGTGTGCTCGGGGACAGCTCCGAGTCACCCCGGGACTCTTTCTGCAAGGCTTTGGGTTGGAATTGCTGAAGGAAGCAGAGACCGTGGGCTGGGGCGCCAGGGCGCCCAAGGAGAATGTGGACCCCGGGCAGCCAGGGCCTGGGGTATATCCCGAGGGGCCGGGGGATCTATCCCCAGGGCCCCGTGAGTCCAGGCCAGGGAGGCACCTGGCCGGGGCTGGCTCACCTCGATGAGGAAGTCTCCCATGCGCAGCCCGGCTCGCCATGCCACGCCGCCCTCGTCCACGGACTCCAGGTACTGCAGCGCCGGGAAGGCCGGCGTGGGGGTGAACTCCTCGATGGGGGTCTGCGCTGCAGATGGGGAGGAGCCGGCGGGGTCGGAGGGGAGGGGGTGGAGAGGCCGAGCAGGGGATGGGGCTCAGACCCAAGTCACGGAGGCCTCACCGTAGCTGTGGGACCAGCACCCAGGGGTGGGGTGGTGGGTGGGCGGGGTCCCTTCCCTATTATTCCCCCCCACCCCCGGCCCTCTTGCTGGGTCACAGAGCCCTCCCCCGGCCCCTCCCCGGCTGGCACTCACCCTTGGCCCCCCGGAGCACGAACCCAAAGCCCTCGCTGTCCTTCTTCTGCAGCAAAACTGTCTTCTCCTTAATGATGTAATCGCTGGCGGGGAGGGGGCCAGAGAGAGATCATGAGACGGGGGGCCTGGGCCCCACCATCCACCCAGGGACTCATGCCCCTGCTCCTGGGCCATTCACCGCACCTTCTGGAATCTTCCTCGCCCACTCTCAGGTGTGTGTGCCCACAGGCTCCCTCGGAGCCCGGCGTGCGGCTCTCCCACTCGCGCGCTCCTCACTCACCCCTCCACGCCTCCATCCGCCCCTCCACCCGGCCAGCAGTCACCAAGCCCAGTGGGAACCAGGCGCAGCGCCGGGGCCGGCAGACCACCGGGTCCCTCGCAGGAGTCCCTGCAGCCACATCCTGCCTGGGGCCTCCAGCCCATGACTTCAATCTCTGGGGCCTCAGTTTCCTCATCTATCACGGAGAACAATCGCAGGCTCTCCCTGCCAGCCTGGCGGCGGGAGTCCAGGACAGGCCAGGCTGCATGGGCTCCCTCCGCTGTGCGGCCAGGGCGTGCAGTCACCGAGGCCACACAGCGCTCCGAGGGCCTTCCCAAGCGCGCAGGCGGCAGGAGGCCCAGCGGGGTTGGCCCCAGCCTGCCGCGACTCGGCCGCCTCTGCCGTGCACGCGGGGCACCTGCTTGTGCCTGCTGTGGCTGTGGCCTTGCGAATTAACGCAGCATTCGACGGAGGCCCGCTGGGCTCGCCGCAGGGGGCCTGGAAGGCATGGGTGCGCAGGGGCACCAGGCCGGCCAGCGCCGCTGCAGACAGCACCATTCCCCCGGTGCAGGAGGTTGTGGTGGGCAGCGCCGACCTGTCTCCCCAGCCGTGCCTCCTGCGATCAGTGGGTGGGCGCTAGAGTGAGAAGCGCCCTGAAATACCTTCCCTGAGCGCCAAGGGCTCCGGGCTAGCTCGGAAACGGCCCCCGCCCCCTTCCTCTGTGGTGGGACTCCGCGTGCAGTCCGTCCCCAGGACCCTCAGGAAGTCCTGAGCATCCTGGTTTCCACCCCACTCCCTTCAGGGTACCCAAGAAGTCGGGGCTGACCAAGAATGCTGCCCCAGCACCCCAGGGTCACGCCTGAAACCCGCCCCGGCACAACGCGCGGACCCCCGAGCGGGTCCCGGCCTTCCCCCGCAGCCCCAGCACACTCCAGCACCAAGCCAGCCTGCGCCCCGCACGCTCCAGCAGCCTGCCCCCACAGATTCAGCACAACAGCCCTCCACGACTACTCCAGTATATTTCAGTGACGCCCCCACACATCCCAGTATGCTCCAAGAATAGCTCTCCCGTCACTCGGGTCTCAGGGTATTCCCAAACACACCCCCTGAATCCATCCCAGCGCACGCCAGGAGCACCCGGTGTGCTCCTGCTGCACTGCAGTGCCCCCTCCTGCACCCCGGTGCTCCCGTGGCTCGAGACTGCCACGTGCTCTGCCTGCACGTGTGCTGGCCCCCCCCCCCAGGGCCACCAGGTCTCGCTCCACCCAGACACACCTCAGAAGCTGCCCCTGCTCTGGGCTCACGGGGGTGGTGAGTACGCCACCACCTGCTCGGGCCCCCACCCCGGCCCGCCGCCTGTCTAGCAGGTGGGGGGGAAGGAGGGAGGGGGTCGGCAGGGGGAGAGAGGGCAGAGGCAGGGCGGGAGGGAGGCAGGGAAGGAGAAAGGGAGGAGGAGGGGCCGAGGCCAGAACAGCGGGTGGACGGGGCCACCAGAAAGGGCTGAGGCCGCGGCCTGCTCCTGCCCACACAGAGTAGCCACGTGGCCCCACCTTTGTCCCTCCACAAGCTCTGACAACCCCCCCCGAGCCTCCACGTGCCTGCTCCCCCACCTCCCTTCCAGGGTCCACCAGCAGCCAGCATGCCCTTCAGCTCCCCTTTATTCCTTGCCCACAGCAGGCTCCCTCGCCTTCCTTCACGCCACCACCACCCCCAGCCCCTGGAGTCTCCCTTTTAGCTGGCCCCCCAACTTTCCCAAACACCCCACCCCACGGTAGAACTCAGTAAAACTCCTGTATCCATCACATGCCAAGAAGCAATTCGCCCTCTGCAAGGCACTCTCCGAAGCTCTTGGCAGGTGAGGCAGTTAACTCACTGCCAGCCTCTGCGGTCAGAGCGCTGTCTCCCCTGGCCAGGTGAGGAGACAGCACAGAGGGGCTGAGCCACCCGCCTGAGGTCACCCAGCGAGGGATGCTCTCCAGCAGCACCCAACGACACACTCAGGTGGCCACGGCAGTTGAAGTCACCACTGCCTCCACAGCACCAAAGCATCTTGAGCATCGCCCCCCCAATTCACCACAAAAGCACCCCTCCAGGGGGAGGCATGTTCACTGAAACCCTGCCAAGAGCCAGACACCAGTGCTTCACGCTTCCTCCGCGCAACATCCCTGGGAGGAGCCGGCCGTCACCGCTCCCATGTAACAGCTGAGGAAACTGAGGCACAGAGCCTGACTCGCCAACATCACACAGCAGCAAAGTGGCAAAGCCAAGACGCGCTGACAGACAACCCACATGCCCCAGCGAGGTCCAAACAAACCCAGATCATCACCGCACCCCCGTCTCCCCCCTCAAGGTCCCCATCTCATACGTGCACCTCTCTCTCCGACCCCCGAATGTGAGTGGCATGTCCACCATCCCGCCAGGCTCCACCTGACCCCCCAAACGCCCTTCTGCCCCTACAGCTCCTTGCAACTCTACCGCCTGTCCCACTCTTGCGTGTCCCCGGCCCGACTGCACTAGCTCGTTGCCCAGCACACCCCAGCAGCCAGCCCTCCGCCCCCCACTCGGCCCTGACAGCGCTCAGCCACTTCTCAATGCCCTTCGAAGACATCTGGGACCGCTGACCCTCTCATGCCCCTTCTCCCCCCCATCCCTCCATACCCTCTTGCACCTTTTCCCCAGCCCTGCCATGTTCCCCAAGATCCCTAAGATACCCTCACTTCCTTCATGCTCCCTAGGACCCCCCATTCCCAAGCACGGCAACCTCTCCCTACTCCTTGCATCCTCAGCTCACTCCCTCTCCACGCTTGGCGTTTCTTGCAGCTGCTTCATTTACATCCCTGCATCCTCTCAGCTTTCCCTGCTGCCCAAATCCCCACCCCCCAAGCCCCCTCACATCCCCTGCATGCCCTCCTTACCCCATTTCTCTGCACACGAACACGCCACGCACCCTCCACGCGCTGACATCCCCCATCTCTCGCCACTTCAGTATCCCCCACCATCCTGCGTTCTGTTCTTGTCCCACCATGCTCCTCTCCAGAGCCTCTGAGCCCAGCCCCACGGCTCCGGGGTTCGTCCCCACGCAGCACCCCATCTGGGCTCTGTGCTGCTGAATACCTGCCCTGCAGCAGCACACACAATGCTCTCCCCCAGGCCATCCCTGGGCGCCCCGAGCGGCCCCTGGAGCCCAGCAGCGGCTCTTGTTCGCCAAGATTGCACACGCGGAGACTGCAGCAGCGTCCACTCCTCCCGCCCCCACCGAAGGGCCCTGCACACACCCAGGAGCCCACAGTCAGAGCCCGCTGCCGCTGCACACGGCGCCCCCTCCGGCACCAGCCCTCGCAGTGTGCCTGTCTCCTGGGGCCTCTCCCCGGCCTGCACACAGGCCCCCGCGCGGGAGTCCAGCCCCCTTCCATGCTGGGAAGAGGCACACATAAGCAGATGCACCCCCCATGCAGAAGCTCAGCCGTGGCCGGCAGTGTGCCCCACACAGACACAGACCCCTGGGGCAGGGAGTGGGGCACAGGGGGCCGGGCCCAGGAAGGGACTGTCACGGGGGCTGTGGGGGAGGGGACAAGCCTGGCACGGGAGGGTGGGTGTCGGAAAACACAGCCGCAGTCTCTGGGACAGACCCACTCCATCACACACACGCGCACACACACGCACACACACTCCCCAGGCAGCCTCGCTGTCGCTCCAAGCCACATACGGAGAGCCGCCAGCAAACAGGGACTGGACACCACTGGGGGGGCCGGGACCCCCATCTCTCCAGCCCTCACACTCACTCATACACAGGCTAGCACACCCGGCGGCAGGCAGCCACACGCGCACGCACATCGCCACAGCCACACTGACACACGGTCGGTCGCGCAGTGACACGCAGCGGAAAAAGGAGGGAGGGAGGCGGGGGCGGGCTGCGCGTGTGATGGGGGGACTGTGAATGGGAGAGAGGGGTATGAATGGGGGGACCTGCCAGCTCGCGAAGGGGTGTGGGGATATGGGATCAGAGGAAGCGGAGCTGGGGTGCAGGCGCCTCAGGGGAAGCCGCTGTGGCTCCCCACAGTGTGGGGGGGCGCTAAGGGCGGCAGGAAGGGCGAGCGTGTCCGAGTCTGGCGGGGTCCGCCCGGAGGGCCCGGCTGGGGACGGTCTCGCGGAGAAAGAGCAGGGGGACCTGGAGGGGCCTGTGAGGGGCGAGACGCCCGGCCTGAGGGGAGCGTGTGTCGGGGCGGGGGGCGCTGGAATGCGGGGGAGAGGCCCGAGGGGGAGATGGAGCGCAGGGCGGAGAGGGGCGCGCGGGGCGCGGGCCGGGGGAGGTCGGGGCGCGGGGGCGCGGGCGGCGGGGGGCGCGGGCGGGGTGGGGGGCCGGCCGGCGCGCTCGGTTACCTGTAGATGTACCAGACGCTGCGCCGCCGGGGCCCCAGGGCCGGCCAGCTGGAGGAGAGCGCGGGGGGCGGCTGCGGCAGGGAGCCCCCACCGGGGCCGACCCCGAAGGCCGCGCCGCCGCCGACCGCAGACAAAGCCATCGCCGCCGCGGCCCCGGCCCCGGCCCCGGTCCCGGAGCGGGCCGCCCCCGCCGCCGCCGCGTCCCCGTCCCCGCTCGGCCGAACCCCCGTGTCCGGGCCCCCAGGCCCCGCCTCATGCTGACCCGCGCCGGGAGGGGGAGGGGCAGGGGGAGGGGGCGCGCGCCCTCCCGCGGGAGGGAGGGCAGGGCCGGGGCTCACATGCCGGGGGGCGCGGGGCGCGGGGCGCGGGGTCCGGCCGCGGCTGGAGCGCGAGCAGCGCGGACGGCGCCGGCCTCAGCACCGCGGACAGCGCCGGGGGCGGCGCGCGGCTTAACCCCTTGGCGTCCTGCGCCGGCGGCGGCGGGGCGGGCGGGGGAGGGGGCCGGGCGCGGAGCGCGGGGCCCCGTGGCGGGAGAGGGGGGAGGGGCGAGGCGCGGGGGGGAAGGAGGCACTTCCGGTCTGGCCCCCCACCCCTCCCCCCGCCCTCCCGCGCAGGTGCAGAGCGGGGAGCGCCGCGGAGAGGGGCGCGCGCCTGCCAGACGCCTCGCGACCGCGTGCGGGGCCGCCCCGCGCGGAGGCCCCCGGAGGGACGCGCAGCCCCCAACGCGGGCCGGCGCGAGGCACCCGCGCCTCGGGGAGAGCCCGACGGGCAAGGCCGAGACCCTCCGTCGGAACTCGGGGGCAGGAGAGACGCGCTCCGCGGAGAAGGGGCCCCGCCACGGCTCCCCCGGGACGGGAGGGCGCTCGCCGGGGCGCGGGGGCGCCGCACGGGCCGGCGCACGCGGTCGGGTCGGCAGAGCGGGGCGCAGGCGGGGGCGCAGCCGGGCACACCACACACAGCGCAGCACATGCGGCGGGCGCGGGAGGAGACGCAGGAGATGCGCTGGGTGAGACAGAGCTTCCCGGGAGCGGGGCGCCAGGCGCAGGGGCCCCCAGCCCCCGCCGGCCCTCAGACAAGGGACCCCCCATGAAGCAGCAGAGAGACACGATGGAGAGATGGAGATGAGCAGCAGAGGCTGATGGGGAGACTTGGGGCAAGGGGACCTCGATACTCACCCGGTGCCCAGAGCCGGAGACGTGCCAGGTGAACACGCACAACGGTCAAGCGCCTCGGACACTCGGGGGGCAGGGGGGCACCCCAGCCCCACCCTCTCTCCTCATGTTGTCATTCCTCTCCCCCTCCCCCATCACCCATCCCCACTGGCCAGACACAGACACATCGGTTTGGACACATTTAATGGAAGGATGCTACGAACAGGGAGCCCCTTCCCTGGACTGGGGGAGGCGGCGGGTGTTGGGGGGGGTCATCTTTCAGAGGCCCGCTATGGCCGCCCTCCCCCTCAGCCTTGCTCCTCCAAAGTCCAAACCCCGGAGGGCTCCCTTCTTCTGTCCTCCCCTCCCCCAACACCCCAGGCCCCGGGTTTCAGACGCAAAACAACGCATGCACACGCTTTTCTGGCAGAGGCGCACGCACAGTGACATGCAGAGGCCCACCCCCCCCCACGACACACCGACCTCGCTGGAAACACTTGCCCTCGGCCTCAGACACACAGACTCAGAGACAGAGGGACACACAGCGGCAGCCACGGTGCAGCCGTTAGGGACAGCGCGGAGGCGCCGGAGCAGAGCAGCCGGGCCCTGGCCTGCCGTCGTGGACGGTGCTCGGCCCCAGCCACGCGAGCACACGGACCAGGCGCCATGCACACCCACAGAGACAGCGGGACCCTGCACGGGGCGGGCTGCGCCGGGTGTGCACACACTGGCGCTCAGGGCGTGCACCCCCACCCCAGGCACCCCTTCCTTCCCACTCCTGACCCGGCCCCTCCCCTCCCCTCCCCTCTCACCTCCCTGGGCCAATCCCATCCATCAAGCTTCAGAAGCAAGTCAGCCAGCAGCCAGGGAGGGGAAAGGTGTCAGTGTGCCCTCTCCCCCCACCCCGCCTGGCCAGGCTCTGTCCCCGCCCCCACCCCCGCCATCGGTGAGAGGCTAGGGGTGCAGACACTTCCACTGCACAGGGACAGCACAGAGATGGGGCGCATGAAGGAGACGAGGGTCTCCAGCCAGCCACACACACCAGCGGCCTGGGCCCCGGCCCCCACCCCGACCACCCATTGGCCTCCTGCACCCAGGACGGGCAGTGTCCGAGACTGCCGAGGAGGGTGTGGGGTTGGGCTGTGTGGCCTGAGGCCCAGCTACCTCCCCCGAGCCCTGGAGCAGAGTTCAGGAGGAGCAGACCCCACGGAGGTTTCAGAGGAGGTGGGACTACTTAAAGGTGGAGTGTGAAGGGGGTTTGGGGTGGGGCCCCCCAGGGGGGTAAGGACATTTACCTTGGGGCATCAAAGCTGTCGTAGGAGCCCACAGTATAGTGCCGGAACAGTCTCTTTGCTTTGTCACTGCGGCTTTCTGCAGGAGGACAAGGGACAGCATTGGACCCACAGGCTAGAAAACCTCGCATCCTCCCTCAGGCCCCCTGGCCCAAGGCTTCCCGCCTACTCCCAGCACCATACCCCCAAGAAGAGCAGGGAAGGAAGGGCAGCAGGGCTCCTCACCTTGCTTTCCCTCCTGCGAGCGGTTGGCCACCTCCTCCAGGCAGTCAGAGGGGAACCAGCCAACGCGACCTTTGACCTGGCCTTCCCAGAAGCCGCCTTCTCCGATACTAAGCACTGGGTAGGGAGCAGGGACAGAGAAACATTTCCATGTTTCCATGAGGCACCCCAAGGCACACAACTCACAGCCCGTCCACACCCCCCAGCCCCCACCAAGGGGCCCGGCCCCAGAGCGTCCTTAATAAACGTGCCGAGTGAAGGGGTCACCCTGCATTCTAACCTCCAGCTCCCGAAGGGAGGACCTGGAGGGTACCAAGGAAAGGCTGAGCCCTGTGGCCCTCATCTCCCCGGCGTCAGGCCCCGGCTTTGGTGGGTGATGCCTCTAACCCTCCCACATCAACTTCCACCCCCCACCACTGCCCCTGCCTCCCCCAGCCTCCCGGACACCTTAATCTCTGGTCACTTGCTCCCAGACCCTCCTCCCCCTCTCCTTGCTTCCCAGAGCCCTAGACAGGAGAAGAGGCTAGAATCACGGCTTTCCCTCTCTCCACCCCTAGCAAGCGGCGGCCCCGCCCTCCCACCCCACCTCCGGACCACCGGGCGCTGATGCAGAAGGCAAGATACAAGCCACAGGTTACCCGGCTCTCACTCTGGGATTTAGCCCCGTCTTACTGGTGGAGAAACGGCGGCGCGGGGAGCCTGAGGGGCTGTGCAGCTGGTAAGGCAAAGCCGGTGGACACAGCGCCAAGGGTTTGCCCCTGGCTGTCAAGCACGCTGATGCCACCGGGCTCCTGAGCTGCGCCGGGCAGCGGTGACAGAGTCGCCTGCCCATTCATTCCCAGCCGCTCCGGGCTGCTCCCGCCACGCCCCACGTCTGCCCTCACTCGCTCCTCACACCTCTCTGGGCAGGTGACAGCAGCTTCCGTTCTAGAGCCCAAGAGGCCGAAGCAAACACAGCAGAGCTCAGGGCATGCTCGGCCTGGACTCAGGGCCATGGTGCTGGTCTCGACACAAGCCACCCCCTGAGGGGAGCGCAGGAGACTAACTGGAGGCGCTCAAGGTCAAGGAACAGGAGGAGACGCGTGCCTTGGGATTGAGCGAGTAAATACTTGCTATGAGCTGGAGCTGGGCGAGAGGCCGGGCAAACACAGTCCCCGGCCTCAGGCAGCTCCAGGCTGGCGAGGGCGGAATCCCACAAGTGGCCTTGAGTGGCCCAGCAGGGTCAGGGGGAAGCGGGACAGGGAGCCTGGAGGGAGGCAGACAGGAGCACGGAGACTCGCTGGCGGAGGGGGCCAGGGGCCTGGACCGACAGGCTGAGAGCGCAGGGCTCCCGGGAGGCGGGGAGGCAGGGGCGGCTGGGTCCCCAGGCAGCAGGAACCCCATTTGAGGAAGGGAGAGAAGGAGGTCCCTGGTCAGGAAAGAGTGCAGGAGACCCGGGCTGGTGAGGGGGGCAGGGAGGGCTCCCCTGCAGGCGGAGGGGCTGGGTTTGGGTTCTGAAAGCAGAGGGGACCTGCTCCCTCCTGAGGCGGCCATGGGGATGCAGGGCTGCTTTTGAGGCAATTCCGTGCCATTTAACAAGGGGGAGTGATATCAAGACAGGGGGTGGGGGGGACATACCAGCCCGGCCCCCCACTGCCCAGGATCCCCAGCGCAGAGCGTACTGGCCTTTCATCCTTGGTGAAGTTCTCCCCACATGCACACTCTCCCCAGGCGTGCTAAGGGCCCCCCACTTGGCTCCTGCCTTTGCTCACTCACTCGCTCACTCACCCATGTGCACTGCTGGCCCAGACCTGGAGACCTGAGACCTTGCCTTGGGGGCTCAGGCGTTGGGGAGATAGAGGACTAATCAGATGCAGCCATACCCCCTCACCAGCTTGACCTCCGCCCTGCACACCCGCCAGGCCTGCCCCTCGGGGAGGGCCCAGCTTGCCCAGGCAGCCGTGTCTCCCCTGCGCAGGTGTTGGGGGTCTCCTAAGGGCTGCCCTGCGCTGGCTCCTGTGATGCTCACCAGGTCCCCCTTACAGGTGAGGAAGCTCCTCCAGCTGCCCCAGCTGGGATGGGGGGCACCACTGGACCCAGACAGCCCACCGCCTGCCCCTTCCGCCTCCCAGGAACGGCAGCAGCAAGCTCCCGGCCCCAGAGCCCCATCCGGCCCAAGAACACATGTCAACAGCCCCCCGAAGCCCGCATGTGGGGGCGAGCAGCAGCATTTCCCCGATGAAGATAGGAAAACCAAAGGCAGGCGAACCCCGACAATAGCAGCTGTAGTTTCGGGAGCCCCAGGCTTGGCCCCGCCTCTGGGCAGAGCCCAGAAATAGGCCCCAGCCCCTGAGAACACTGCAGTGGCGATGAGGTAAGAGATGGGGGCTCAGCCCCCAGCTGTGCACCAGGGGGCAGGTGAGCCAGACCGCGTGGAAGGGAGGACTCCAGCAGCGCCCCGACTGGCACATGCTGTGCCCCTCAAATGCCATGTGTCCAGACTCCCACCGCCTTCTGGGGGCATCTCGGCCACCCCTCAGGCTCCTTGAAGGAGGAAGGGGCCCTGGAGGGCCCCAGGGCAAGGTCACTCTGGGCCCCCCCAGCCAGGCTCGCTTACCTTTGATCTTCTCCCCCTTGCTCAGGGAGATCTCGCCCTCGGCCTGGGCCTGGTAGGACTTGACGGCCATGAAGGAGCGCCCCGGCACCGCCGAGTAGAGCTTCCTGCGCCTGCCGCGGCTGCCCAGGGAGCCCCCAGGGCCCCCCGAGCCCCCAGTGCCACCGGCAGGCCCTTCCCGGGGCGTCCCACTGGAGCTGCGTACACAGAGGGTGTGAGAGGCAGGGGGAGCGGAGGGCCGGGGCCTCTGGGAGGACAGGGGTCCTGGGAGGGGTGAGTGGGGGAGACGGGGCATCAGAGTGAGGGAGCGGGGCTGAGGGGCTTCTCGGCTCTGGCGTCCTGGGGGAGGCAAGGGCATCTGGGGTCTCCGCTGCCTGTTCTCTCTGCCCCAGCCCCCCACCGCCTCCTGGCTCCCGGCTCTGGCCCTCCCACGGCCCCTCACACTCGGCCTGATGCAGCTTCCACTGTGTCATCCCTCGGCTCGGCTCACGAGCCTCCAGCAGCTCCCGGCTCCCTCCTGGGCCCAGGCCAGCTCGGCCGCCATTCTCAGCCTCCCACAGCCTCACGGCCCGACACGGGCACTTGCAGCCCAGCCAGCTACGGCCTCCTCGCGCTCCTCAGCTGAGCTGCCTGCCCTCGTCTGTCCTGCCCTCTGCCCCCAGCACGGCCGCTCCGCTTCTTCCGCCCAGGCCCGCCCCCCAAGTTCCACCTGCCCTACCCGGCTCTGCGTCCTTCCTCCCTGTTCTCCCTGCCTTTCTGTCTGCTTTTCCTGGCGCTGGCATTTCTTACGGGGCACCCCACCCCCAAGGCCCCCCATGGAGCAGGTGCCAGCTGTCTCGGTGCCTCTGGGGGTGTGGCCGGGCCAGGCTCAGCACCTGCCTCCCTCCCTCGAGGGGCAGAGAGTGGCCAGAGGGTGGGGCTGGGGAAGGAAGGGCCACCCTGGGGTGGGGAGGAAGGTCCCTGGGCTGACCTGGGATGGGGTGGGATAGCTAAGGCTCTGTGGGGCGAATTTGAGGGTCCAGGCCTCCCCTACCTGGGCCGCCCGCGCGGCTGCCTCTTGGTCTCCTCCGGGTGCCTCCCTCGGGATGGGGATCGGGCCCGGGCACCCCTGGGGCTGCTGGCACTTCGAAGGGTCCCGCTGCTGAGCTTAGTGCTGGGGGCCGAGGGCGGTGGCTGGCCCTGGGGCCCTGAGGTAGGGCCAGCGGCCCCGGAGGAAGTGGCCCCCGGGGCAGCGAAGACCATCCAGTCGGGCAGCGCCATGCTGGTGTCGCTGTTGGCCCGCAGCAGGGCCGGGGGCACTGTCAGCCCTGCGCCCGGGGGCCCCCGTCGGCGGGCCGCGTATTTGGGGGACTCCTGGAAGGGCACTGAGAGGACACAGTGGCGGGGGGGCAGGAGGGACGGGGAGGGGGACACAGGCAGGCGGTACAAGAGCGAGAGGACACGAGAGGAGAAAGAGACAGATGAGAAAGAGTGGGGGGCCTGGAATCCCCCCGACCACTCATCAGACATTCGAGGTCCTCCAAGGTTTTCTGGATCCCATCCAGGCTCCCGAAGCAGATCCCAGTTCCACCCCCACCCCACCCCGAAAGCCCCAGCCCCGCCCTCAGCCCCAGCCCCCACTGGCTTACCCACGTCCTGTTCCCGATGGTTCCGGATCAGCTCCCCCAGTTCAAAATTCCCAGCAATCACTGCCACCTAGAAAGAGGGGGTGCCAGGAGAGAGAAGCAGCCGCATCGTGAGACCCCCTGGCCAGCGGCACCCTTCCACCGGTCACCCCAAATCTCCACCCACTCACTCTGCTCCTCCCGCCCCACCTGCCTCACCCCCGGGCCCATGCCCCATCACACCCCAGCTGAAACAGCCCCAGACCTGAAACGGGGTCTGTCCGTTGTTATTCTTCACGTCCTTGCTGGCTCCGCGATACAGGAGGATCCGAGCACAAGTCTCCTGGGGGGGGCCGGGGGCACGAGGGGAGGGGAGAACCACGGTGACCACAGGCCCGTGCGGGGACCTCCCGGGGCAATGGGATCAGGGCCTGGCCGGCCGGCCGGACAACAGCCCCAGCAGTAGCCCACACGCCCTTGAATGCAGCGTGTGTGCGACACCCCCCCCCACCCCGATGTCCAGGGCCTGGCGTGAGGAGAGCCTTTCAGGGTCTCTCGTCAATGCTGTGCCCGTCGCGCATTGAAGCGATGGCGTTTTGGAGACACGGGTTCAACAGGATACGAAGCTACAATGAATGCCGCTTGTCCCTTGGTTTGGAAGTGGCTTCTGGGACATTTCAAATGACGTGAGTGGCTGGCGTTAGGTTCCACTGAGCCAGGCTAATCTGAACCAGGTCCTCAACCTCTGCGGGGCCGACACTTGGGGAGAGGAGCTCCTGGTACGGGGGTGTCCAGCCGCTTCTGCGGCCTCTGCCACTAGAGGGCAGTCGCGCTCCCCTCCTCAGCCAAGACGGCCAAGAACGTCCTCAGCCTTCGCCTCCAGCCCCCAGGCCGCAGGAGCCTCCAGGCTGAACCCCTGGCCCAGCGTGGGCCCAGCGCAGTCCTCTGAGCTCCCAAAGCTCACCGAGTGGCCAAGCAATTCCACGAGGTGGCCAAGCAATTCACCCTCTCCGCTTTACCTACAAAGGGAGCTCTCAAGGTCAGATGCCCTCACCTGGAAGCTGAGATGTGAACTCAGGTGTGTCTGACTCCCAAATCTTTGCTCTCAGGCACACCCTGCTAGATCCGGATGGAAGGGGGCAACACACCACAGGGACGGCGGGGGCCGAGCAACCTTCTCCATCCAGATCGATGCCTTACTAATGGACCTGGCTCCCTCTCACTCTGGATCAAACCTGTGATCCTGGCCAGGGCCTGCGAGGGTCCCCCGTGTGTCTGCCCTGCCAACCCCTCACCTCCAGCCTCACCAACTCCATCCTCTACCACCTCCCCCTGCTTTTCACACTCCAGCCACACTGGCCTACTTTCTCTCGCAGGCACACTCCTGCCCCAGGACCTTAGCACCTGCTGCTCCCTCTGCTTGGAATTCTCTGCCCTGAGATGTCCACTTGAATTGCTCTCTCACTTCATCAGATATTTGGCTCAAATGCCATCTTTTCTGAGAAGGCCTCACCAACCACCTTGGTAAAATTAATTTGCTGTCCTGTTGCCTGCTTTATCTTTATTTACCAGCTTTTATTTCTATGACACTGTCATGTGCCAGGCATTCCTATAAGCCAGGACCAATTGGTTTTCTTCACGGCACTGTTCCCGTGAAATTGCCTCTCTGGTGCTGTCTGCCTCCCGAGCACCTCTGCCCACTTCACTGTAGGTTGTTCAGAGGCGTGATCCAGCCGAGCCCCCCCACCTCCCAACAGCACTCGGCCCCTAGGAACTATCTAAGGATACAGGTGCTGAATGAGGGAGCCTTCCACCTTTATCTGGGCCTGGCGAAACCCCACCTGGTCTCTCCAGCACCCCCAGGTGCTAATCCAACCAGCATTCACCAGGCACCTCCTGTGCTCATCATTTCTGCCAGGCCAAGCCTCCGAGGATGTTTTCATGGAGTCATCCCACAGGACAGGCTCAGAGAGGGCAAATTCATGCCCAAGGTCACACAGCCAGTTAGTGGAGCAGCCGGGACTCAGACCTGGTCTCCAGATCCTCCTGCTCACCCATGTCTTGCAGCCGCTCTGATTATCCAAGGCACTCATGGACTGCAGAGTCAGCCTGTTGGTTTTCTGGCTGTGAGTGCGCGTGCGTCCCTCCATGCACGTGCTGTTCCCACAACGGGGCGTTCGCTACGCGCCTTTCCCGTATCTGCCTGCCCAGAGCACCACCCTGCAGCTCCACCAGCGCCAGCCTCCGAGAAACCTCGTATTTGCTGTGTCCTCACACTTATCTCACGGTATTGCAATTATTTGTTTACACGTCTGCCTCTCCGCCAGACTGTGAGCTCCCCCCACCCTCCGAGGGCAGGCGCCGTGCGGTGCCTGATTCAGCTCACCTCCTGGCACACAGTAGGTGCCACCCGGCACACACTGGGTGCTCGGGAAAACATGCACGGAAAGGATGAGGAATTCTTTTGTTCCAGTCATTCATTCATCCCTGTGACATCCATGTATGTGGAAGCCAACCCGGGTGAGTGTTTCAAGCTGCTGCATGGTTTGGGGGGAAGGGGAGTGGTACCCAAAGCGGCCGAGCTACCATCCATCCTCCATTCACTCACTCATTCAATAAATAGGACCTGGGGCCTGGAGACAGAGCCATGGTCGGACTCAGCCCCTGCCCCAGATGTGGACCTGACCTTCCCCACCTGAGGCCGGGCAGGCATGCTGGGAGGCCAGGGGAGCAGGCAGTGAGGACATCTGTCAGACCCAGCCCTGGCCCCGTGGGAAGTTTAAAGACCGGGAGGGAACACAAGGGGAGAGAAGCAGAAACAGCAGTGGCACCGCTCATGTGTCCAGGTCCAAGAGCAGGCGAGTGTGGGGCCCCTCGATCCCGACCCATTTCACAGACCACGGGGGTGGGGGTGAGGCTAGTTTCATGGCACAGAAGCGACCGAGTGCTCATCCAACCCAGCAAGAGCTATAGTTCCCGCCCGAGAATTCTTTTCGCCATGTTTGCCTTGTTCAAATGAACGGCGGGGCCTCTCCCGACCGCTCCCAGCCGATTCTGGTAACAATGACAGTAATTGCTGCTATTACAGCTGCCGTATGGGGGGGCCACAACAGACGCTCCTTCACCCCCTTCCATTAGCGGACCTTACTCCCGTTTCAGGGAGGGGAGTGGAGCCCCAGACAGGGGAAGGCCTCTTTTGGGGGACCCTGGTCTATCTGGGGTGGGGATCCTTCCCTCTCTGCCGCTTGCAGGCCTTGAGTCTGCCCATGTTGGGGAGCAGGAGAGACAGAAGCGGGAGGGCGGAGGGGGATGAACGTGGAGCAGACTGCTCCCTGCCACAGGCACCTGCACCGGCAGGACCGGCAGGAGGGCCGCAGCTGTCTGAAAGCCTTCCTGGGGGAGAAGGGGGTGCTGCCGGCTCAGCGGCAGGCCACGGGCCTCATTCTCTCAAGTCCCCACGCCACCCCAAAAAGGACAGGGAGCCGCACTGGGGAGACAGAAGCCCGGAGGGATCTGACCGGCCTTGGGTGGCCTTGAGCACAGGGGGCCACCAGGCCGGGGCCCCAGCCTTCCCAACGCAAGTGGCTGCCACAGCCTGGCTGGGGTGAGACACAAACCCCTGAGCCCGACTGTGTCTCCACTGGGACCTCGAGAACCAGGGAGCCTGGAACAGCTAAAACTCGCCAACGCTCTTGTCCCCTCGGGGGAGGGGGCCGTGGATGGGCTCTCCTCTGTCCCCCCAGCCTGCCCGTCACTGTTATGAGCGGGGACCCGGGAGGTGAGGACCCCCCTCTGAAGACAGTGCTGACTCTGCCCCAACGTCCTTCTCCTGCTGGCCATGCCCGCATGACTGGCCTGTCCCCATCCCAGCCCACGTCCAGACCCAGGGCCCACGTCCAGACCAGGCTCCCCGGGGACCTAGACTCCCCCCGAGACCCAGGACAGCCCCTGATGGTGGGTCTGTCTGTCCTGCACACCACTTTGTCCTCAGCTCCCTGCGCACTGAGTGGATGCATGCATGAAGGGGGCGCTGGGGCAGAGATGGCGCGCGAACTGAACCTACCTTGTTGTAGAGGGCGCAGATGTGCAGGGCCGTGTTCCCCGAGGCGTTCTGGGCGCCGGGCTCAGCCCCGTAGAAGAGCAGGTGTTCCAGGTGCTGAGAGTGGCCCCGCTGGCAGGCCTGGGGAGCACGGGAGCCCAGGGGGCCGGGTCAGACCCTCTCAGCCACGCCCCTGCCTCAGCTCCTCCAGGAAGCATCCGCCCACCTCCCCTCCCGCTTTCCGCCCCCTTCCTACAAAGGGAGCACCCCTCACTCCAAGGCCGGGTGTCTGTGTGGCCCATCGAGAGGGCTCAGGGGCCTTGACCCACCTCAGGGGGATCAGGGCACCCAGTCCCCTGGCCCAAGCCCCCTGAGGATCCTCCTTGGGGGCCCATATGGCTCTCACCCCCTCTCTCTGAGGTCCCCGGCACCTGGCCCCGCAGCCCGCCGCCCAGCTCGGGTCCCGCAGTCGGGGTGCACCTGGTGGATCTCCTGCCAGCCGTTCTCGTCAGCGACACCCAGCTGGGCCCTGTTGTACAGCAGCAGCTCACAGCAGCGGGGGTCGCCCCCCACCATAGCCGTGTGGAACAGAGGGGTCAGCCCCCTGCGGTCCTTGTAGTTGGGGGAGCCCCCGAGGTCCAGGAGTGCCTGGAAGTGGGGGAAAGACAGCTGACAAGCCTGCAGGCACCGGCTTGCATAGAGACAACGGCCAGCAGCGCCAGGAGCCCGGGCCCCACACAGGCCACGGGCAGTCTCAGTCCTGCCTGGATGCCCTTGTGTGACCTTGAGGGGGACGAGTATCCCCACTTCCCCTGGGAAGGACTAGGGGCTGAAAGGATGCCTCCAGGATGCCTCCAGGACACCGATGCCCCTGCCCTGCCCCCTGCGAGGCTTCCCCTGGGTGACTGGAGGACCCAGTGGCTTCAAAGCAGAACCTGCCTGACCCAGAGCTCAGGGTCAGGATGCAGTCGGAGCCCTGGCCAGGCAGATGTTAACAGGGCCCCAAAGACGGAGCATGGAAGGAGGTCTGGAAAGGGCAAATTGGGGTGAAGGCAAGTGGGTCCAGCCTACTGAGCTGGGGGGCCCACTCAGGGGCCGACTCTGGGTGCAGAAGGCTGGGGTGCCGAGCAGTACGGGAGGGACAGTGCTCATGGAGGACAGCCTCTCTGTGCATGACGGAACAGCTAGGGCCCCAACGTGGGTGTTAGGGTGAGCGTGGGGAGTCTTTGCTTTTCCTCAGTTTAATCCCCTGTGACACCAACAGCCCCGTGTGGCTGCTGGCTGCTGGCTGGGCTGGACGCTGGAATGCAGCGGGGGCTGGGGCTGGGGTGAGTGCCTGGGGGTGGGGGTGGGGGGGTGAGGAGCTGCTGGCTCCAGGGCTGTGGGATCCCAAGGCTGTGGGGCCCCAGAGCTGTGGGGCCCTACAGCTGTGAAGCCCAGGGCTGTGGGGCACCTGCTGCCTCTCCCGGTGGCTGGCACCTGACTCCCTTTAGGTTCTTCCAGAGGGAGTTGGAGAAGGGGTGGGCAGAGTCTCAGTCTCTGAGAATGGGGGTGTTAATCCACAGCTGTGGATCTTTGGGGGCTGCCCAGCCCGATGTGAGTGCAAGGTGGAGTCTAGGCCTCGGGCAGCAGGCTGTAAGTCTTAAAACGCCCAGTGTGAACCAACGCCAGGTGTGTAGTCTGTGGGTTACAGGGCTTATGTGTCAGGGAAGACACGTTGCAGGCACTGTGCTGGGGAGCAGGGGGAGGGCCCTGGAGGGTGGGGGTGCATGAGGGCCGCTGTCTAGGGGCTGCTTTCAGGGTATGTGCAGGTGGGCATACCTAGGGTGCAACAAGGGGCTCTCTGGATATTTAAGGGGCCCAAGGAGGGTCCCTGGCTCCGGAGGCGAGCGGGAAGGCTGAGCTAGCTGGGGCGGGAAGTTCCGGTCATCGGGACAGGAGTGAGGGCAGGAGAAGGGTCTCGGGGACAGTCACTGGAGCTGACCAGGGGCCACAATCGTGGGGCTCCTGAGGGTCTCGGCCCAGGGGAGGGAGCGGCAGTGGTGGCCATGTATCTGCATCCATAGACGGGTCTCGTCTCATCTCGGGGGCGTGAAAAGGGGCTATTTTAACAAAAACCAAAGAACTGGGGTTTGAAAAAGAGCAACAGGGAAACACGAGAAGCGTCTGAGGACAGAGCAGGGGCGACATCCTTGCGTGGACATGGCAGGGGCATCTAGGAGGGTCCCAGGGCAGGGTGGGGCAACGGGAGAAGGAGGGTGGAGGAGGGTGGAGGAAGGCACTCCTGGGGGTGCGGCCGGGTGGCGGGAAGCCAGCCACTGGGTCTCCGAGCTGCGGGGGGCCCGGAGGCACGGCTCACCGTGAGGGCCAGGCAGTGCCGGGCGCAGGCGGCCTTGTGCAGGGCGGTCATGCCGTCCCGGGCCCGGAAGTCGATGTGCGCGCCGCCCAGGCACAGCGTCCGGATCACCTCCACGGAGCCTTCCGTCTGGGCAGCCAGCGTCAGGGGGGTCTCTGGGGCGGGAGAGGCTGGTCATGCACGCCTTGGGACTTGGCTCCCCAGCTCTCCCAGAGCTCCCGGGCCCCCGCCTACCTCCTGAGTCGGAGTCATGATAATTGGGGTCCAGCCCCTTGTCCAGCAGCCGTGCCACCTTGTCAGACGTCCCGAGCTGCACGTACTCCAGGAATCTCTTCAGCCCCGTCTGGGCAGGGACAAGAGAGACAAGTCAGGCCGGGGGGACAGCGGGGTAGAAAATGGCCCTGCCATCCCGTCATGGCTGGCCTGGGGGGGTCTGTCCATCGCTTCGAGGTTCTCGTTCATGGCGTCCATCTTTTACCCCTGTGGTTTCAGGCGCAACGAGTAACCCGTGCAAAAGTTACGAATGACGGTGTTCATTCACATTTGGGGGGTGCTGAGTCTTTCACATTCAGCATGGCGGCTGGGTGGGGACCCACCACCCTGGGGGGTCATACTGGCTGGTGGCTCCAGCAGGGGGTGGAGACAGGTCTGGAGGGGTGGAAGAGTGGGGGGAAGAGCAAGACCAGGCCGTGGTGGGGTGGGGGCTGGGGATGAGGAGGTCCAGAAGGCTTTCTCCCCAAGTGCCCAGAATCCTTCGCCCCCAAGGATGCAGAGTTTGCAGACTGGATAGCAAGGTCCCAAGAGGACATGGGGGTGGGGCCATCCCTGGATGCGGGTGAGATTTAGGCTATGGGATCGAGGAGCCCCAGCCCCTCCGTAGCACAAGGGGAATCACAGTCACAGGCCATGGGAGGGGCAGCAGAGAGTTCTGAGTGGACAGCGGGACCCAGGAGATGAGAAAGTAGCCTCCGAGGATGAAGGAAGAGGGAGCCGGGTGAAAGTGGTGCGGGCCTGGGTAGAGAAACGGGGGGCGAGGGGCGACAGGGACAGTTAGGAGGGGCCAGGTGCAGTTAGCGCAGCATGTCCCAGACATGACACAGCACATTCGGGGACCCTGAACAAGGAAGCGGAACATGAGGACGCTGGGCCGTGGTGGGAGAGGAGGTGGCAGGTGGGGTTCTGGGGCTGGCATCCCAGGAGTGGGTGCCATGGGGCGGGGTGGGGGGCGGTGGCGAGCATGGCAGGGGGCTCACCTTCGTGTGCAGCTTTGCCAGCTGCTTCTCATCCAGGTTGGTCTGTTTGTAAACGCGGGTCTTGTAGCGAAACTGAGGCCCGGGCCGGGATGAGCGGACACAGAAGCACAGAGTCAGGGGCCTGGGAGGAGGCTGGGGTACGGGCTGGGGCCAGCTCACGGTCGGGGTAGAGAGGACCCTGAATCCTGACTGGCTGGGTGGGGGATCCTGGGCCGAGACCTGCCCGGTTTGCCGTGCCTTGCCCAGTGGGCAGCACTGACCCTGACTGGGGGTCTGGAGGCGGCCCCTGGGTCCTCCCTCCTTGGGGTCTGGACTGGGAGAGCGGGCAGGGATAGACGCGTGTGGGGACAGGCTGCCGCAGGCCTCACCTCCAGGTAGGGCACCCCCTTCTCGAAGGACTGGGGGTACTCCCGCAGCAGGCGCTCCTCCTCCAGGAAGTTGGCGTCGCGGCCCGAGGTGGCGGGCTGGAACAGGCCATAGTTGAGCACGTCCTGCAGGCTCTCGCTCAGGGCGCAGAGCACCTGCTGCTTGGCCGTCCAGATGGTGGCATCGGGGTTGAAGCGCAGGCATTTCTGGGGGGGAGGGGACAGGGAGGAGCCTGAGGGGGCTGGGGATGAAGGTGGGGGTGACTCTGGGACAAGTGGGCATCTCAGGAGGCACCCAGGACCTGGACGCGGCGCCCAGGCGCAGGGCCCCCCAGGCTGGGGCGCCCACTCACTGTCTGGTGCAGGTCGGGGATGCCGATCCTGAAGACCATCATGCTGAAGTGGGCGTCGTCCGGGACAGACATGGAGCGGCCCTGGAGGCCTCGGATGGAGGCCAGGCTACCAGGTGTCCCGCTGCCCCGGCCCCGGGTCCCCCGGAGGCCTCTCCCTGGCCCGTCTGGGGAGCTGTCGGACTCCGAGCCGCCCTCGGGACACTCGCTGGCGCTGTGTCGCTCCTCGTCCTCGCTTGTGGCGGGGCTGTGGGTCATCGTGGGGCCACGGGGCGACGGGGGACGGCAGCATCACAGGCGGCTGCGGGGTCAGGGCGGCCATCAGACCAGGGGGCCAGGCCCCCTCGCAGGCCACGGGCACCAGCAGGGCACCAGCGGTCAAGGGCAGCAGCCCCACACTGCCCAACAGGCAGGCGGCCGGACACACCCCTGGACGTGCCTGCTGGGCACCGCGCACGCCCCGCTTCCCACGCGTCTCCTTCCCTGCCCTTGGCCCTGCTCGCGGCCCCCGCCCCTCCTGCGTCCCACTTTGCCGCTGACCCAGCGTGCCGGTGTCCCAGAAACCGCAGAATCACCGCGGGAGCTAGTGGCCCACTTTGCCGGGCCACGGAAAATGCAGCTAAAATTAGCTGAGGACAGACAGGTGGGCCGCTCCAGCGGCACCCTGCCCTCCTGGCCCCGGCCTGGCCCCTCAACCAGGGCCGCCACCTTCCCAGGAGAGCTGGAGGGAGGGCTGAGATGTAGTAAGGGGGAGCGGGTGCCAGTGAGCCAGGGCGGCAGAGCAGGGAGCCACGTGGTGGCCGGGACGGGTGGAGCTGGTGCCTTGGTGTGGCGGGCGAGGTGTGCGGAGGGTGCTGGACACAGAGGCCCAGGGGAGACGGGGATGTCGTGGGGGAGGGCACCCCCCTCCCCGTGGGACGGTCCCCAAGAGAACCACAGAGGTGGCCCAGGCAGGCTGCTGGGGGATCTGAGAGTGAGTGTGGGTGGTGGGAGAGGCAGACCCTGGGGGACAGGAGTGGGGTGTCCGGGGTGCACCCGAGGTGGCCGTGGACGACCCGTGGGCGCACCTGAGGGCGGGCCCTGCAGGGCGGGTGGACTGGCAGGCACAGCCTGGCCTGGTGGTTCCAACGTGAGGGGGAACGGGGGACTGCTGGGAGGCAGGTGAAGAAGTGGGGTGAGGGCTGGGGGCCTGGGAAGGGAGGGCCGCGCCAGCTCCCCACTATTCTTGTCTCTGGAGGTGGCCTTCTAAGAGTGGGTCCCGAAAGAGGGCTGCCTCCCTCATCCTCTCCCCCACTCCCACCCCAGCACCGGAAACCAGAATGTCTGGTCTGGTCCCTCCCCCCCACACCAGGCCCGGCTCCTGCACCGTTGCCATGGAGATGGGAAGCAGTGGAGGGTACTGCTGACTTTGGGGGAGTGGGGATGGGCTGGGGGGTTGGGGAGGGAAGGCAAAATGTGCATGGGGGGAGGACAGTTCCAAGAGCTTTGGGTAATGGAGCCTCTAACCACCCACCGGCCAGCTCCCCCGCCCCCCTGGGCGGCCCCGGCTTCAGCCTTCACCCCCTTCAGGTACCCAGCAGCGCCGCCCCACCCTGCCCTCGGCGGAGACCCCGGCCCCTCCCTCCTCCGGGCGGGAGGCCACCTCCCCCCTCCGGACAGGGGGCCCGGCAGCCACTCCCCCTCCGTTGACCCTGGCTGACCCCCAGCCTCCACCGGGCACTCGAAGGGTGGCAAGTGGGGTGCAAGAGGGCTGGTCCCGGCCTCCCGCGCGAGCGGCGCCCCCAGCCCCCGGCCGGCTGCAGCCCCTCCCCCTCGGGCCGCGGGAGGGAGCGGGCACACTCCGCCGGGGCGGCATGAATCAAACGCTCCGCGGCTAAGAATAGCTGGCACGCAGCTGGTACCGAGACGGGCTGAGGAATCGGCGGGGGGGGCGCGGAGAAGGGGAAAGAGGGGGTGCCCTGGGAGGCTGCGGGGGGACGGGGGGCGGCCGGCGTGGCCGAGGGCCGGCCCGGGAGAATGAATGGAGGCGGGGAGCGGCGGGGGGCGGCGGGGAGAGGGGGGCGGGGAGCTGGCGGGGGAGAGCCCCGGGCCGGGGCGGGGGGCGGGGGCACCCGGGAGCGGACTCGGGGGCGGGAGCCGAGGGGGCGCGCCGGCCGGTGCAGCGGGGACGGGAGACGGGGTGGGGACCGGGGCGCCTGCCAAGGGGTGGGAGGGACTGGAGGGGCTGGGAGGGAGAGGCAGCTCCCGCGGGGCTCCGGGGCCGGGGCGGCCCGGCCTAGACCCCCGCGCCGGCGGGAAGCGGGCCGGGCCGGGCCGGGCGGGCGGGCGGGCGGCGGGGGCGGGGGAGTGGCCGCGCGGGGCCGGGAGGCGGGTGCGGCGACCCGGCCCTCGGCTCGCGAGCGCGGGTTCGGGCGTGGGGCTCCGCTGGCGGGGGGTGGGGGCGCCTCCTCCCCCAAGTCCGCGATCTGGGACGGGGCACCGGGGACCGGGGCGTAACCCAATTTGGCGTCGCCCGGGGCAACGCTCCCTCCTCACCCCCACGGCGCCCCCGGGCCCCGAGCCCGGCGCGCGGCCAAGGACGTCCGGGGCGCCCCCGCCCCCCCCGCCGCCCGGCCCCGCGGCCCCCCGACGCCCGGGCGCGCGCCCCTTACCTGCCTGGCGGGGCTGCTGAGTCCCGGTCGGCGGCGCCCGCGGCCCCTCCCCCTCCCCCCACCCCCCACCCCCCCGGAGACGGGGGACCCTCAGGCCATGCCCCACCGCCCCGGAGGGCGAGCGGGCCCGGGGAGGGGGCGGGCGGGGGCCGGGGGGAGGGCGGGGGGCCGAGGACCTCACCCCCCCGCGGGCCGGGCCCGGCCATCCGCAGAGCGCCCCCCTTCCGCCGCGGCCGCGGCCCCTCCTCGCTCGCCCGCCCCCGGCTCGGCCCGCGGCTCCCGGCTCCGCGCGCCGCCGGCTCGGCCGCCTCCTCTCCTCGGGCCGCCGCCGCCGCCCGCTCCGCGCCTCCTCTGCCTCGCGGCTCGCTCCTCGCGCTCGCCGGCTCTCCGCGCCCCGTCTCTCCTCGCTCCCTCCCTCGCTCCCTCCCGCCCCTCCCTCCGCCCTCTCCCCTCCCTCCGGGAGCCGGCAGAGGAGACATCGCCCCTCCCCGCGCCCCCAAACCTCGCCCATCCCCCCCGCCGGCTCCGCCCCTCCCCTCCCTCCCCTCCCCTCCCCTCCCCCACTCCTCTTCGTCACCCGATCCCCAACTCTGACTCCACCCCTGCTCGCCCCCATGCCCCAAAGACGGGGCGCCGCCCCCCCAGGGTAGCCCTCGGGCGGGCACACACACCAAGACCGCTCCTTCCCCGGGGCTCCCCACCCGCTCTGCGCACAGTAGGTTGCAGTCAGTATTTGCTGGGAGACGCTACACCCCCAAACTGGATTGTGAGAGCTACAGATTTCTGCTCTGTCCCCCCAAATAGAGGCTCTCTGTCTCTCTGTCTCGGTCTGTCTGTCTCTCTCCTTTCCCAAGCCCAGGTGCTTGGAGTCTCCCTGGCAGGTGCAGACCTGGCCCCAGACTCGCTCTCCGGGCAGGTGCCCCCGAAATGCTACTCCTGCCTACCTGAGTGTGCATTCCCCCAACATGGACATACCACACCCGCGTGTGAGCACTGGCAGCGCACACCTGGGCGTGCATGCTCAGCTGACCAGCTCCCACTCCAGCCCCAGACACACACCACTGCTGGGAGGGTGTGCGCGCCCCCGGCCCCCAACAGGTGTGCACACCCATTCAGAAACCCCTGCAGCTCCCGGCTCCCACGGTGACACTCACTGCCTAGCGTCTTACACACGCCCTGCGTGCTCCGCTCTCTTCTGGATTAACTCCCCAACTTCTCGCACCGACAGTGGGTGAGGGGTGTTCACCAGCCCCTTCTCCAGAGGCAGAGCCCGAGGCACAGAGAGGCTGAGCAACTTGCCCTAGGTCGCCCAGCCGTAGAGGGGAGGTGCCGGGTCGGGTCCAGTCTCCACAGGACTGTTGCTCACCCCAGTGCACCAGAGTGGCCCCATGTCCAGCATCACCCACTGGACGCAGCCGGCTGTCTCTTCTCAGCCCGGGGCTGGTGCTGGACCCCCCCCCCACAAAGAAAGGTCCCATGGGTGGCCTGAGGGCACTGAAGAGTACCCCAGGCTCCCAGCCTTCTCCTGGCCCGCAGCCCCAGCCCGCAGCTCCAGCCCGCAGCTGCGCGGCTGTGCTAAGCAGCAGCTGGGAGCAGCTCCAGCTCCTGCTCTCCAGGTCACCAGCCCAGGAGCCAGGGCCCCCGGACCACCCCCCCCCCCAGCATACCAACCGGCCCAGGTGGCCAGCAGCTGGGCCCTGGGAGAGTGCAGGTGTCCGCGTGACAGGCTGCGCACCCCTCACCAGCTTCCAAGGCCTTCATGGCCAGCTGTAGCATCTCTATCTATGAGGGGGTGCTGGCACCTGAGAGGCCAAGGCTGACCCCCGAGAACAGCCAGCCCAAGGTCACACTGCCCTCTGCTTTCTTGGAAAATGGAAGGCTGGGGGCGCTCTTTTTCGAGGCCCCTCCTGGGGCTCCCAGCCGCAGAGGCACATGCCCTGCTTTTGCTGAGCGGCGCCTGGGCCAGGTGCCTCCAGCAGACTGTGCTGTCCCCCGCCTGGGCCTCGATTTCCTGCCTTGCAGAGTGGGCCCTGGGAGCCTGGCTGCTGAGCCCCGCGGTCTTTGGCACAACCAGCCAGGCTCACGGGCCTGGCAGAGTGGACCTGGCCCGGCCTCCTGCTACCTGGCCCCTGCAGCCTCACTCCCACAACTCTAGCTGCCCCCCATGCCCCTCAGTCCCTGCCTCAGGGAACTGGCAGTGACCCCAGATTTGAAGGTCAAGCCTGCAGGTGTCTGCCGGGCCACTGCCACACCGGGAACAGCTTGCGTTCTCACGCACAGATGGTGTGAGCACCTACTATGTGCTACTTCGTCTAGCTCTGGGGTTCCAGTGGGCTAGTATTCCTGCCTTTACAGTGGGAGACAGAGCAGAAGCGAGTCCCCACACACGCTAGGCCACACCAAGGAGGTACAACGGGGTGTTTACCAGAGGGCGTGCGAGAGGCTGGTTTCTTTGGACAAGACCATCCTCTCCGAGCTGGAACCTCCAGAGAGAAGGAGGAGGGAGACTTCCAGAAAGAGGGAAAGGCTGGTAAGAGCCAAGAGGCCAGGGTGGCTGGACCCTGGCGAGGGAGAGGGGGGCAGGAGCCGGTGGGGGTGCCTTCTCAGTCCCCAGCAGGGCAGTGGAATGGAGAAAAGGGCTTGGCTGCCCTCCTGCATCTTATGGGAAGCCGCGGAGCAGGGGAGTGGGGAGTGACGTGATCTGATTTACGGTTTGGAAGCCTTGCTGCGGCAAGCAGTGTGGATTGGAGGGGCGCAGGAGGAGGGGGGGCAGGGAGGAGGCCGCTGCAGTGGTCTGGGCCAGACAGACGAGGCACCTTGTCGACAGCCCTGCACTCTCGCCCAGCCCGGCCTCCGTCCACTCTGCCTTCTGCCTGCTGGTCTGCGAGCAGCCCCAAGCCCAGGGCTTGCCAGAGGCTGCCCGAAAAGTACAGCCCATGAATCCTGGGGTCCCACCGGCCAGGGTGCACACACACACACACTCTTTGCCCATGTCCTCATGGATGGACAGCACACATATTCCCTGGCATCTTGGAGCAAGGGCTTGGAGGGCAGGGATGAGAGATGGGGGGAATGGGAGGCACCCCAGAGTCTCAATGGTGGGAGGGCCACCCCCAGTAGGCGAGGAGGGGGCGATGGTGGCCACAGGGGAGTGACACACTGGGACTCCTCTCTGGAGGAAAGGCAGGGGAGGCCAGGGGGGCCGGCCAGGCTCCAGCCACCCCCGAGGGTGTTCCTGGGCAGAGGCTGTGTTCCCAGGCCCCTAGGAGTCTGAGGGTAGGGGTCACCCTCTTCTTGACCACCGGTACTTTCAGGGAAGGCAAAAGGAAGGAGCAGAGCGGAAGCGAGCTCTGGAAAGTGGAAGGGGGGGGGTGCAGGAGACCCAAGGCGGGATCCAGGCTTTGGAACGTTGGAGGTTTCCGGCCACAGAGGCAGGGCCTCCGGGGAGCCAAGAAGGGCGGGGAGACACACACAGGCGGGCAGAGACCTCCAGACCACAGAGACCGAGCGGGGGAGAGGGACGGCGGACAGGGGCGATTGGGCTGCACAGAGCCAGCCCCGGGTGCCTCCTGCCTGCAGACTTGGGTGCTGTGAGCCCAACCTCATGCAGGCAGCCTGGTTTCTTGGGGCCTTGGTGGTCCCCCAGCTTCTGGGCTTGGGCCATGGGGCCCGGGGAGCCGAGAGGGAGTGGGAGGGGACCTGGGGAGGCGCCCAGGAGGAAGAGCGTGACAGGGAGGCATTGATGCTGAAGGTAAGTTGGGGGAGCTGGGTTGGGGAGCATGGTATCCTTGGGTCAGAGAAATGGGCAGAGGTGTGAAAGGGATGGGGTGTTGGTTGGGAGAAAGGATTCAGGGGCATAAGCCAGCTGAGGAGAGGCTTGGCTGGAGAGCTGGGAGTCAGACAGGGCTCCAGGCTGGCCCTGGCCACCCCTCTCCCGCCTCAGCATTTGCAGGAGGCCCTGGGGCTGCCAGACAGGAGGCAGGATGAGAATCCAGAAGGAACCCCTGAAGACAAAGAAGACTGGTGGACTGAGGAGGCAGGCCAGGCGGAGGAAGAGACGGAAGCCACACCACTACTCTCCTCCAGCCCCAGCCCCTCTGCCACCCCCAGCCCCACCCCCACCCCTGAGGACGTGGTTACTTATATCTGTGAGTAATCCTTAGCTGGGCGCTCTCCCCGACCCCACCATGAGCCATCATTACACTGTTCCCGGCCTTTCAGGAGCCCTTCACCCACCCCCTAATTCCCACCCCCACAAGTCCTGGGTCCTGGGCCTTGCCTCCCAAGAGCCTCCGGGCCATGGGCCCAGATCTTGACCTGAGCGCCCCCCACTCCGCCTCCAGGAGCCCTAGGTCCACTTTCTCCAGGTTTTCGGGTCCCTGGCCCCACCCCCAGAGTCCCAGTCCAGCGTGCGCCCTGTCCGTCCGCAGTGGGCCGCCTGGCCGGCCTGGACGCCGGTCTGCACCAGCTGCATGTCCGACTGCACGCGCTGGACACCCGCGTGGTCGAGCTGACCCGGGGGCTGCGGCAGCTGCGGGAAGCGGCGGGCGACACCCGCGACGCCGTGCAAGCCCTGCAAGAGGCGCAGAGCCGCGCCGAGCGCGAGCATGGCCGCTTAGAGGGTGAGCACGCACCTCGCGGGGTGGACAAGTGGGGCGATTCTGCACAGGTGCAGGATTGGTGGGGGGGAGGAGCCCAGGGAGGTCTGAGGACAGGCGAGGACCTGGGTGTCAGGGGAGGGGATCCGGGACATTTGGGGGTGCGCTGGCAGAAGGAGGGACTAGAATAGCCCGGAGGGTGACTGCGGGGGGCAGTCGGGTAGAGTGCGAAGCCCCGCGCCCACCTGGCAATTGGGTTGACCCCCCCACCTGGCCGCGCCACGCCCTCTCAGTCTCTTCCCTACTGCCTGGCCCCGCCCCCGGCGGCCCTGGCTCTCCACCTCCCTGTAGTTCTGACCCCGCCTCCTCCCAGCCCCGCCCCGCGGCTCTAGCCCCGCCCCAGACTAGAGCCCCGCCCCCAGCCCTGAACCCGTCTTTGCCCCGCCCCGCCCCGCCCCCAGGCTGCCTGAAGGGGTTGCGCCTAGGTCACAAGTGCTTCCTGCTCTCGCGCGACTTCGAGGCGCAGGCGGCGGCGCAGGCGCGCTGCGTGGCGCGGGGCGGGAGCCTGGCACAGCCGGCCGACCGCCAGCAGATGGACGCGCTGGCCCGCTACCTGCGCGCGGCGCTCGCGCCCTACAACTGGCCGGTGTGGCTGGGCGTGCACGACCGGCGCGCCGAGGGCCTCTACCTCTTCGAGAACGGCCAGCGCGTGTCCTTCTTCGCCTGGCACCGCGCGCCCAGCCCCGAGCCCGGCCCACGCTGCACCCGCTGAGCCCCAGCCAGCCCAACGGCGGCGCGCTGGAGAACTGCGTGGCGCAGGCCTCGGACGACGGCTCCTGGTGGGACCACGACTGCGAGCGGCGCCTCTACTACGTGTGCGAGTTCCCGTTCTAGCGGGCCGGCCCGCGGCAGTCCGTCCCACCCCCCGCCCTAGGTCTGGGCCACGCGTCCTGCGGGAACGCGCCCCCGCCCTGCCTCGGGTGAAGGTGTGTCCCCCAGGCTGGGCGTCGACCCCGGAGGTGGGGGGGGGGGCTCCTGCGGGACCAGGATCCCTGCCTTGCCTGTCTTTCCTGGCAGCGGGGGGCACCAGGCAAGGACCCGCTCCAATAAAGCCTTCCGGGACCTTGAGCTAACTGTGGACACCCTTTTGACCTTTATCTCCCTAGTGGGCAGCCGCCAAGGGCAAGCCCCTGGCCGTTGGGCCAGCCCTGTCCCGCCTTTACAGGTATTCCCGGTGATGGGCAACACAGGTGGATGTGTCCACACAGCCATCCATCCCCCCTGTGCACAGAAGCCCTGAGCGTGCACTTGCTGATAACGCCTCCACCCCCATGGGGCCTCAGCTCTCAGCCTTTGGGGCCCAGGGCCTGTCAGTCATCGTTCCACGTTTTGGCCTTGGTCTAAGAGATGGGGGAAAACCCAAAGGAGCAAAAGGCTCTGGCAAGTCCTGCAAGAAAGACCCCACAGTTTTGTTCAGTGTCTCCCAAACTTGATTCACCATCCACAGTGTTTCATGAAACATCAGGCTGTCCCCCACCCCAGGGGCATTGCTCAGACCCACATGGACCTATGCAGCCTGGAAGCTTAGTTTCCTCAGTGTTCTACGCGCTGCCTGTGAGGCCATGCGCCAGTCCCTTCCCTGCCTGAGCCCCAGTTTCTGCATCTGAACATGAGCGCAATCACCCCTAACAAGTATGACTCTGGGATACCCCCAGGTGCTCAGAAAGTGAGTCTATGGGAAGTGTCTGAAGAGCCACGTGCTCCCTTTCCTTCCCCACCATCCTCCATACCTTTATCCCTTGGGCCAGCCTGGCACCGTGGGGACAGTCCTCTTTGGGGGGGCACTCTTCATGGAATCATGTCAGGGTCTCCCCCAATACAGGGATCACGGCCTTGCCTCCTCATGCGGAGTCCAGGAACTGGAACATGACCTGGCCTTACAGCTCTATCCCTCCCCCCTCAGCTGTGGCACCATCTGTGTGACCCTTCCACGGGCCACCTGTCACCTGGCTGTCACCTGCCTAGGCAGAGGAACGCCACCCCTCCCTCCCTGCGAGAGCCATTTTTCAACCTCCTTGCTAACCCCAATGGAATGTACAGAAGGCTAGATGGGGTGGGTGTGGCCTGGGGGTTTGATCCTGGCACAGAAGATCTTACTCAAAATGTTTGTACAGAAGGGGAGACAGTGGGGTGTGGCCTGGGGGCTTGATGCTGGCACGGAAGAACTTACTCAAAATGTGTGCAGCTCCGAGCTTGTTTCTGGCCTGTGGGCAGCAGGATGTAGGGCAGCCGAAGGGCTGAGGAGGCGAACAGCCATCAGCCTCTGTGACTGCTGGGCAGGGGCCGCTCTCATAGCCCATCCTCTGGAAAGTTAGCAGGCAAGTGGCGGTCACCTGGGGCCCGACCTAAATGGCCCTCGTTCTAACCCCTTCTGGGACTTTACCCACTGGGCCAGCCTGAGCAAGTCTCCTCATCCAGCCCCAGTCAGCCACACTGGGGCACCCTTTCTGGGCAGGGCTGGGTATGGCCCAGCTCGTGTCCCCCACATGCTCTGGAACGTGGAGGGGTGAATGGGGGGTGTGAGGGGGGCTCTGCATGAAGGAAGAGCCTGTGCAGGGACTTGCTGAGAGGCCTGGGTGTCCCCTACACGCTTCAGGCGCCTCAGGGCTCCCACAGGGTGCACCCACTGGGGCCCTCCGGGTTCCCCGGCACACACACCCTCCCATCCCTCTCAGGACCACTGTGTGGTCAACGTCCATCTCCTGACAGGGACAAAGTTGTGAGCACTTTGGGGGGTGGAGGTCATTTGAAAGGACTGTTTATGCCTCAGTTCACCTGCACCCTGCGTTCTGGGCAAATTCCTGGTCTCAGGACTGCCTGTGGGAACCCTGTCTCCTCCCTCAAGGACTCCCTCCCACCCCGCCCTCCGCCTCCCCGACTCTCCAGGACCAGCGTTGGCCATTGCGCGCTCTCTGACTCTACAACGAGGCCTTCGGCTTACACCTTAGCACCTCGGAAGGGAGAAGGCCTCGGGAAGGTGTTGTGGGTCAGTGTGTTGAGTTACCCCAGGAAATGGTGGAGGAAGCGAGCGAGGCGAGGCCTGCGGTCACTCAGCTGAAAGAAGCGCCAGGGGCGACTCAGACCTGCCAGGACTACAAATCCCAGGGGGCCGAGCGGCCGGCTCGCTCCCGCCTTCCAAGAAATACGTTCCCAACAGCCACAGGGCGCCGCAAGAAAGTCCTTTTGCAAGCCCCACCCCCCTCCTCCACGTGGGGCTCGCCTACATTTCCCAGCAAGCCTGAGCACCACGCCCTTCGGGGTAGGGTCGAAGATCGTCAATCTCCAATCAGAGCTCAAACCCTTCGGGTCTCGCCCCGAGGTATTTTGGGAAATGTAGTCCGGTGGCGCGTTAACGGGTAGGAAAACCCAAAGCCATTGCTCACGTTCGCTGAGATTTAGACTCTAATCCGCGCTCTGATGTTTCAGGTGAGAGTTTTTCAAAACATGGGTGAATCTTCACGGGTGGAGAATAACCATTTTTTAAAGTGAAATGAGTTCATAGACAACATTAGAATATATAGACAATGGGAAGAAATACTTTTCAAAATCTGAGTTCCTTGCTGAATACAAAATACGACATAAAAATCCTTCCTTTGCCTGGAGAAAGATTGCTAAGCACTGTTCCAAAACAACTTAGCTTCTTAAAAAAAATCACACACACAACTTTTTATTTGTAATAATTACAGACAACATGCACAAATACAGGTTGTGTTTTGTATTTGTATGTATACCCTTTACCAAATGTATCTATTAGTGCTTTAGCATTATCATTATCTGTCTGTCCAGCCACCCACCCTTCCTTCCCACCCAGGGACAATTCAAAGTCAGGTGCACTGGCCTGTTGCATTGAAGACCACACCCCAGAGGAGGAACTGTTTTCAAGTTACAGGATTTGGAAAAGAGAGGAAATTTGGTGACATTCAAGTCAAATCGTGTTTTGATAGCTTCAGAGCAAAGCAGGGAGGTGTATAAATGAATCCGCACTGGGTCTGGACTGCAAAATGCACTCAGGGTCCTGTTTCTTTGGAAATGGGAAAGTTAAGATGAACATGACATGTTGTACCCACAAACTCTAGCTAAAGCTCTGCACCAAGCCTGGAAATTGATACTTCCTGCCGGTGTCTTCCAGGCAAAGTTTCCTCAAGTCTGTGATTTCTTTCTCTTGGTAAGACAGCAGTAGTCCCTCACAGAGAGGGCTGATGGGACCTTAACAGCTGTGTATCCCTGGGAGAAACATTGCCGTTTAACCTTGCAGCTGGCTTTATTCATGTGCACGGCTGGATGGTGGGGCAGATTTTTGCTGTCCTGCTTTTCATTTCTCAGTATAAACGTAGCTTCTGAGACATTTAAGGGTAAGTGACCCATATCATGGCCCCAGATCCGTAAATACTTCAGTGTGTATTTCCTAAGAATAGAGGTAGGTTCTTACATAACCACAGCAGTCATCCCCGGTCAATGTTTCCTGAAACGACACTATGATTAGATTTGCTGGTGCTATCCCCAGGTGTTCAGCTGACCCGGAAGCAGTCCTTCATAGCCTTCCTCCCTCCAGATCAGGATCTAGTGTGCAGTCAGGTATTGCACTGAGTTTTCGTGTCTCCTTTAATCTGGAACATTTCCATATAAATAATAATCGACCTTTTGAAAGAACAACACGCCCCACTTTTCTTCAAAAAAAAAAAAAGAATTTCCTGACTTGCATTGCCTAGTGGCCAACTTCATACACATTCTCCTGGCATACAGGTGCTGAGGATGCCCTCTTTTTAGGGAAACTTGCAAGGAAGGTGCAACGCATAGAGGGGTGTGCTCGGTTTGAAGTCATTTTTCCATTGTCAGAGGATCACTTTGAACCTGCCTCCTGGCTTCTCAAGCTTTTTCCTGTGCCGGCCCCTGGTCGTCATTCATGTATTTGAACCACCTCTCTGCTCCAGTTCCCAGGCCAGCGGCAGGGTTTTCCTCTTCAAAGCTGGGATGGTTTGTGTGAGCTGGGCCAGATGGCAGGAAATTCTTGTGGGGGGGGCAAGTTCTCTCCCCTTCTCAATCTCTCTTTGCACCTAGTCCAAACCCAACTGGCCATGTGGGTCAGCTCCCTGGCTGGGGATCGAACTTATGCCTCAGTGGCCAGCGATAGCTTGATAGCACTGAGACTTAGCCCCTGCACCACTAGTCAGGCTCCTTTTTTTTTTTTTTTTAAAGATTTATTTATTTATGCATACAAGAACTGGGGTATAGGCCAGAGGTGCGGGGGGTGAGAGGATTCACCAGACACAGGGTGGGGAACGGAACAGGCAGATTGAATGAAATACACTGCTGAGGGGAGCAGCGGGTGAGACAGGAGACATCTGCTGTGCCATGTGGGTTGCTCCTTGGCTAGCTGGGGATTGATTAAACTTGTACTGCAGAGGCTGCAGATTGTTTCATAGTTCTGTGCTTAACCCCTTGCGCCAGCAGGGAGGCCCACCAGGCAGGTTCCTTTTAAGAGCAACTTCAGGATATTTTCACTGTGGCCATTGCTCCAGGTAGAGCTGTATGAAACTCTTACTAATGCTTGAGCAAACAAAGAGTAAGAAGTATCAAGACTAGAAGGGAAGAGAGAAAGCTGTCATTGTTTGAACATGATATAATTATATACCCAGGAAAGCTGATAGAATGAACAAACTATTAGAGAACAAATAATAAGATATCAACAAGGTCCCCAAGATTAAGACCAAAGAAGCCAGCTCCGTTTCTCTTGACTTACAAAAAAAAAAAAAAAAATGTAACCAAAGAGACCATCTGCAATCTCAACAACATCAAGAAGTTGTCTAGGAATGAGAAGACAAGAAAACCTAAGATATTGGGCCTCCCTGGTGGCACAGCGGTTGAGTGCTGGGTTGCGAAGCTGCCTGCAGCCTCTGCAGCGCCTGTTCGATCCCCGGCCACCAGGGGAGGGTCCCACATGGCGCGCAGACCTCTCCTGCCACCCGTGCTCCCTTCAGCAGTGTACTTTGTTTTTTTTTGTTTTGTTTTGTTTTGTTTTTTTAGAGGCATTTTTTTTTATTTATTTGTTTGTTTGTTTGTTTGTTTTGTTTATACATGCACTGGGTACAGTCAGAAGCGCGGGAGGGTGAGAGAATTCACCAGAGCCAGAGAGGGGAGCAGAGCAGGCAGAAGGACCGAAGTACACTGCTGAGGGGAGCAGCGGGCGGCAGGAGGGGTCTGCGCGCCATGTGGGACCCTCCTCCAGTGGCCGGGAGCGGCCGGGGATCGAACCGGCGCCGCAGAGGCCGCGGGCAGCTTCGCAACCCAGCGCTCAACCGCTGCGCCACCGGGGAGGCCCCAGCAGTGTACTTTGGTCCTTCTGCCTGTTCTGTTCCCCGCTCTGGCTCTGGTGAATTCTTTCACCCTCCCGCGCTTCTGACTGTACCCAGTGCTTGTATAAATAAATAAATAAATCTTTAAAAAAAAAAAAAAAAAAAAGAAAAGATATTGTGAAGACACGGTTGCACAGATAATCTGAATAAAAGCAAAAACATTCTATGTTCTTGGGGGTGATAAAGTGTGATGCAGATGTCAGTACCTCACAATTAAATACAAATGTAAGTTAAGCTTCTACTTAGATTATTTTAACAGTTTCATTGAGATTCACATATCATACAGTTCAATATCATTCACATAATTAAAGTGTATTCAGGGTATAAAGTGTATTTTTAGTATAAAGTGTATAAAGTGTATTTTTAGTGTTAGTGTTCAGACATGCGAAACCACCACCAGTTAATGTTAGAACCTTTTTACCACCTTAAAAAGAAACCCTGTGTACTTGATTGATTGATTGATTTTTGCATAAGAACTAGGGTGCAGGTCAGAGGTGCTGGGAGGGTGGTGGGAGGACTCACCATAGACAGAGTGGAGAGCAGAACAGGTGGATCCACTGAAATCCACTGCTGAGGGGAGCAGCAGGGAGACAGGAGAGGTCTGCTGCGCCATGTGGGTTAGCTCCCTGGCCAGGGAAGCAGTATCAGCACTGAGACTTAACCCCTAGGTTACCAAGGGCCGAAACCCTGCACTATTTAACTGTTGCTTCCCTGTGTCTCCCTCTACTCCCAGCCCTAAGAAACCATGATGCATCTATTTTCAGTCTCTATAGATTTGCTTGTGGGGGTATTTTGTACGAATGAAATCACATTAATAAGTGGTGGTGGTGACCTGCTCCTTTCATTTAGCAAGATGTGTTTCAGATTCATCCAGTTTATGACATGTATCAGTAATTCATTCCTTTTAACGGCTGAATAATATTCCATGTTGTGGCTCTCCCACACTTTCTTTACAGTGCATCAGTTGACCACATCTGGGTTGCTTCCACCTTTGGGCTATTTTAAATGATGCTGCTCTGAAGAAGTCTAGGTTTTTTCTTTCAACATTTCATTCCTGTTTCTTGCTGGATCACATGGTAACGCCATGTTTAGTAGCACATCAGTGAACTCAATGTTGGATAAATGTAAAGAGATCGACAATCACATACAAGCTAGAGAAAAAGTTGGAAGTCGAAGACAAAGAGAAAATCTTGAAGTTCTCTATCCACACAGTTTTCTTCTAGGCAGCAGACTGCCTCACAGTCAGCAGTGACCCCGTCCTTGGAGTGGCCTCCGAGGTGGAAATGTGGCCAGACATGTTTCTCAGAGTTGACTGGATGTGGTTGCTTTATGCTGTCCTTTATCAAAGTGGTTCCTTTTTCCAAGGGCAGCCCTGGGGCAACTGGTATGATGATAATTGTTCTGGGGCCTCCCTGGTGGCACAGGGATTAAGTCTTGGCGCTGTCAAGCTATCACCAGCCACTGCAGCACGAGTTTGATCCCCAGCCATGGAGCTACCCACATGACAGCTACTCTGCTCTCTCCCCGCTGCTCCCCTCAGCAGTGGATTTCAGTAGATCTGCCTGTTCTGCTCCCCACTCTGTCTCTGGTGAATCCTCTCACTCCCCGCCCACACTACCACCACCACCTCTGGCCTACACCCCAGTTCTTGTATGCATAAATAAATAAAAATAAATCTTTGAAAAAAAATGATATTGTTCTCACCAGGCTACTCCCTGGCTAGACTTTGGAATTGCTTCTTTCAATGGAGAAATCCC